AAGAACTGCTCACCATACACTACACGACTGAGGATCATGCACAACCAGAGTCATTCCGAACACAACAAACTCACACAGAAACAGGCACTTCATTGCTAGGAGATGCATGATAAATGAACACGAAATGTTCTAAAATCAGTTTAAAACATCAAACATGTTTTATATCATAGTCTGAAGCTAAAGAATCAGAGTCTGTGCCCATCAAACACTGCATGTTTGTCTGTGAAATTGTCTCTGGCTATAGGAAAAATTCAAAACCCTGGCTATAGGCAAAATCTGCAGACTGGCTCTGACTCTCAACAACTAGCATTGACTCATCCAGACTGTAAACAGGGGCAAAAATTTGGGCAAAAGTTGTGAATTCCAGCCTTTAGATTGCCATGATCTCTGTCAATAAACATGATGAAATCTCTGTGATATAGAAGATAGTGTGATGCAATTGTGTCCATCTACCCACTCATTTCAGTGACAATTTTCTGGGAATGTAAATATTTGTACTTAATTAAAAACAAAAAACCAGCAAAGAGCATACATGACAATCATTATATTTGAGAAATTTAAATGTTTAAATTATCTTGTTCTAAAAATAATTTCAACTAAGTAAAAGGCCATAATAGTAAACCATGGTTATCCAACAATGCCTCCATCCATGTATATTAGCAAAAATCACTGGAGCATTTGGAGTAAAGAAAAACTAACCAGATTTTGACTACAAGACTGTGAATTATGGTACTTCGAATCTTATATTGAACAGAAAGGAAGGAGCAGCGAGTCAACCGCCAGTGGAAAATACAACTGTGCAAGCAGAACAGCCTCTAAACCTGAGTGAATCTGACATGACCACACACGAACCCCCACAACAAGCTCCAGAAGAACAACAACACAGAACTGAGTACGTACTTCTGTACACTAGCAGAGCCGGTGAGCTGGAGGCGACCTCTGCTGACGGTACAAAGTACTGCTGCTAATGCCTGTAGACTATGAAAATAAATGTCGAATTTAATGTATTTCTCAGCTCTCCTCCACCCAAAGCTGAGGCATTTGAGGATTTCAAGGCAGAACGAGGAAGTGAGATCAACCGCATACTAAAGGAGAACAAGGCTGTGCTGTCGGAGCGCACGACACAATTACGCATACTCACAGATGTCATCAATGCCACTAAACGGGATCTCGACTACATTACATATGAGCTGCGACAATTCAGAGAGCGAAAACAAAGCCAGGGTAAATATTACACGATGTATGTGACTACATCGATTTGCCTACAGTAGGGAAGTGTAGGAATGAAAAGACTAAAACAAGCTCCTTTCTGATAGTTATCATATGGAACTGAAGGCTGTTGGTTTCATAGGTCAATTAGTGAGTGCGGAGGGGGAGCCTGTGCTGGAGGAGGCTGAGCTATCTCTAGTGATGCAGCTGAAAGAGCTGAAGAACCGTTATAGACAAGCCTACGAGGATTTCAGAAGCACAAAGACAGAAGTCAGCTACTGTCAGCATCTGGTGAATCAGTGCCGCACACGGCTGCTAACAGGTGAGTTCCCCTGGTTCTCCACACAGCATATTGTTACAGTCTCTTCATGGTTCTCAGGCTTGTTTTTGATGAGAAATTTAATAACTTCACCGGTTCAAATAACTACAATTGTAATACATAAGTCATTGTCAACATTTTGTGTAACAAAAACACATTTACTTACCTGATCTATACAAATATAATTATAATTGTATTTACTGCACCTCACTGTTATACACAAGCTCATCTTTCTCTAATGCCATTACTGTTTGTTTTGTGTTTGCCAGCGTTTGAGAGATGGTACAATGAGTCTTTCTTGTTTCCGGATGAAGTGTTGTCAGTCTTAGAGACAGGACCAGTTCGACCAGGTCACATACCTGTGGACAAAGCTTTAACACTGGTCAGTAACATTCAGGGTTGCCAGGTTTTCACAACAGGTTTCCATTTTCCATTCCAGGGGCTAAATATCACGTAAAATATGAGGTCGCTTCAACACTGTTAAAGTAGCCAATTTCTGCGGGAAAACCGCATGTGCTCATGTTTGATAAAAAGAAATGTTTCTCAGCATATTGGAAGGATTTCAGAAGGATCATGTGACAAAGACGTAGTGGCTGCTGAAAATTCAGCCTTAAATTACATTTTGAAACATTAAAACCGAAAATATTTTAAACTAATATTTCAAAATATCCCCCCCCCCCCGCCCCCAAAAAATGCCAATAAATAGATCAAACATACAGTAAAACGGTAACATTTTGAAATATTGGTGAACGTTAGACTTTTTTCAAAAACATTACAAAATCTTACAGATCTCAAACTTTTGAACTGTAATGGATATACTATCTATTAAAGGGCACCACTACTTTTATGTATATATATATATATTTATAATTCTTGCATTTTCTTTTAAACAGTTTTGTAAACTATTTTAATGTCAAGGAGTGGAGATCTTAGTCTGCATCGTACCACTAGATCAGAACATCTCAGGAAAGGTTTTACATGTTTGTTGGAAACAATGTAACGAGCAGAAACTATTCAAAGTTTGATCATGTGAGAGACTTGTTCCAGTGTGCTTGTGTCAGATGTTGTATTATTGGACAGATGGCTGATGAAGAGGAAAGTGATGGTCTCCATCACAAGCTGCATGCAGACAGTACCGTGTCATTTTACAATGCCTATAACAGGACTCAAAAGAGGGTAAGACACTTACACACACCCGATACTAGCTTTCATTATTCAGCACTCAAATTATGCTGAATGCTATGCTACATTTATTTAACTATATAATGAAGGTGCCTTTCATTTACAGAGGGGAAGCAGACAGGTGTCTCGAAGTCCAGAGTCTGTGAGGGGCAGCAGGAGTAAAACAAAACTCCCTATTCTCTCAGTCATCTGATGCAGGTCTCCGTATGCTCAGTCTCCAGAGTGCTTGACACTTCCTGAAGAACGTTTCCATGAACGTGTGAAATCAGCAGGACATATGAACACATCTGCTATCTGAAATATGCTTGTGCTGTATCATGTGCTAATCTATCCTTAAACTTGTAATTGATATTGTTCATATGTAAAGACAATCTGTCTTAAAAATGTTGTAATTTTTCAGTTTCTGAAAATAAAAGTGTATTTTTAACTGTACATTATTATTGTTAGTTCTTTGTTAGAAATGTTTTTAAATATCAGTTTACACTTTACAGTATATTTTCCACTTTGAGCAAACCATAGTTCGCTCTAAATAGAGGCAAGAACAACCTCAGTACATCAGGTTGTTAAATGAAAAGTAAACTTTATTATTCCTGAACCACAAAATAGACTTCTTTGGTTGTACAAATTCACTAGTTACAGTCCTGAACGAGCGCTATCCCCAGACCTTTAGTCCCACCCTCCCCTTTAGCAAAAAACAAAACAAAAAAAATCCTCCCCAACAAGAAACCAAGACAAGAAAACAATAAGAGAGATCAAACTCTTTTGCTTTGAAAAAGTAAAAATGTAGTGAATCCCATTATCCCAGTGGTCACAGAAAACCAACTTCTTTTTTCTCAAACTACAATTTTTAAAAAATACAATGATGAGCAATCCCAAACTGTTATTAACCAAAACTGAATTTCAGTCGATGAGAGCAACACAAAAGCTAAGATTAGTAAATTAAAAAAAAAAGTTCATACGTTTGACAGGTTCATCGGGACACAGTGTTGATGGCAGCTAGGGTGGTGAACAACTGATTTGAGAACAGTGAAATAAAACTCTTTATTTGAAGGAATAATAAGAGTCTATCATATTAGTCCTCACACAGGATTGACAGTAAAATTGCAATAAGCCAATATACAAACACAGGGATCAGTCAGTCAAGACCCTGGTAGAATCATCTATACCCTCCAGACTTTAGTTTGTGGTCTTGGCGCAGAAAGGCTCAGATTCAACTCTGATTTTTGATTCTTTTTTTTTTTAGCATTTATACATTATTCACACAATGAGCTTTTCAGTGGCTTTAGAAGTTCAACTATTTAAAGTGTAGATTAGAAAACATCTACTACCTTCACACACGTCAGAATAAGAGAAGGAAAAGATATGAGCAAGATTCGTAGATGTCAATAGAGATCAAATGTTTTCAGATGTTTCGATTTCCTCCTCCCACTCCCAAAATGGTACCACATGTCTATGGAGAGGTAAAGTGAAGTCTGGCGAATGATGGGCTGTTAAAGAGTGAATTCTCCACTCTGGTCACTCAGTGTAGCAAAGGGAATGATTCAATGCATACATGGCCCAGAACAAGAAGCAGAAATAAAAATGGAGGATGTTTTAGTGTCCTTGAGGAAGAGGATCATTAAAGGAACACAAATTGTGTGAAACCATTATCCACTTCATTTTACTCTCCTAGTCCAATAAAGGAAGACTAGAAATCAGTTAAAAGGTTTAGAATGACGCTACTCAATACAGTAGGTCAGACTTTATATGGCATGACCATACATATTACCAAAATATTTATAACGGATCTTTAAATAAGGTCAGATGCAACCTTTCAAAAATATTTTTCATTTGCATCACCTTAAAAAAAAGAGATTGTTTTGAAACTGATATGGATATAAAATGGAAATAAAGCTTTACGCCAAGGCCTCATTTTCAATTTTAAAATGTTGCGTGCAAGAAAATTTATCCCAAAACCAAAAATCATCACAAATTCACAAGTAATCAGCTTATACATGTCAAAAAGCCTCAATTTGTTCCTCTATTGTATTGGAATCCCACAGATTAAAAACAGTAAATTACATTAATAAATTACATTTAAAGGAATAAAAACTTTTTTCTGATTGTGAATTAAAGCAACAAAAGTGAAAATCTGGCTTACATGGGGCAGTGAAGGTAGCAGTATGTTGTCTGCAAACTGAATCTCCCCAAACAAGAACACGGTTACATTTAAATAGCTCCTTTTCTGCCTTTCCACATTTTCATTTCTAGAGGAGGTTTCCAAAGTGTTAAGAAAGAAACCCACGGCATCTCTTAAAATAACTCTTCTGACAGACAGAAAACTGGGTAAAATGGGTCAATCAATCAGCCATCATCTGGACTTCTCATAGTAAAATCTGAGCAACCCCTTTCAACTGAAAAAGCAAAACTAGCGTTTGGGAGACTCACCTCCTAACCTGTGTTGTCGGCACTGAAATAAGAGTGGTTTAGTATCTGTGTACACTGTGTATTTCAGAGCATTCTAAGCCACGTGTGGCATCTCCTAGCATTAGATGATCACTATGTGTGTTTTATCTTCACAGTTCAGATGCATTAGTGTGTGAGTGTACGGTTATGTGGGCACTGGAGCCTCCAGGCTGTGGCGGCCCTGTCGTAGTTTGCGCTTGTTACTGTAGAGAGCCATCTCCTCTAGAGCAGATGTGGTGGCCACAGGAACTTCTGGATCTACAACAGACACTGAAAGGAGAGAGACGACAATTGTATTAAATATTACACTGTAAAGAGGAGCTGCCGTCTTTGATGCTGCACATGTAAAGCGCCCCTTCATCCACTGAAAATAAGAAATTTGCAATCTTCTAATTGACAAGTGACAGCTTTTATAAATGAGAATGCCCTGCTTTTATAGATGCTTCTATACCAGGGGTGGCCAAAGTCGGTCCTGGACAGACAGTCCTGCTGAGTTTTGCTTCAACCCTAATCAAACTCTTGATTATTAAGTTAATCAAGGTCTAAGCCAAGGGTTACTAGAAAGCTACAGGCAGGTTAGATTTATCAAGGCTGGAGCAAAACTCTGCAAGACTGTCTGTCCAGGACAGACGTTCCATACCACCCCCTTGTCTTTAAATGCATGTAGATTTCAGTTTAAATCCCACAAACTCCCGCAAAGCAGTGATTCAGGAGAGCCATTCGGTGCATAAGCTGAAAGGCAGAGCTGCACACCATGCAGAAAAAAGCCCTGCAGAGCACTGATCACATTTGGGCACCTTGAGTACACTGTTATTGAGATTAGAAGCACACAGGTAAAAATATATATGCACTGTACAGCAATGCCTTCTGGATTATGAGATCAATCCCTATTTTAACAGAAGTGGCAGTGACAGATCTCCTGTTAGACATACAAATAACAGGTTCACCAATTTTTCAAAATATAAAACATGCAAGCTGCAAAAATGACATGTTAGTGTTTTTACTGCCAATGAAGCAGAGAGACAGCATTTTTTGGAAATTGAAAATTGCATGACTATACACAATAGGGATGCACAATATATTAGTATCATATCAGTTATTGGCTAATATTAAAGATTTTGAAAGAAATGTATCTTAATACATGGCTTTCTGGAATACTTGATTCTGATTTGTCAGTCTCGACATTCCAAGGTCTGATATTTACTGATATTGACTTCACTAACAACACTGTTGACAGAATGTTTTGTACATTATAAAGGATTTATAATATACATACATACACACACACACACACATATATATATAAACAGTTTCATCACAAATCAATAGTTATCGTTCCCATTACTTTGTAAAAAAAAAAAAAGCCATCTAGTAAATAGTACGACTGAACATAATCTCTTAAATCTTCATCTTTTTTTAAAATGTCAACCCAAATTAATATTTTATTTCTAATTATTTACTCACGTGGCAAGAAGCTATGTAATAAGCAGGATAAATGTACATCCAGCTGGTTGACAATGAAAAAAACAACTATTTTGCAATAACCAACTGGACGCAGCTGCCCTGACATCTGTCAATATTAGATGTGTATATTTCCCCGGTTTTTACAATAAAAGTACCATTGCCATCATCTCAAATTTAACTTTTAAAGTTAATCTTTGAAACAAATAATTTAATAACATTGTTAAATGTAATCTTTAGCACTCAAACAACTGAAATCTCATACAGAACTAAATACTGTAAATTTACATTCCATTTTAAATGAGTGATTTTAGTTTTTAGGGTTTTACTTTTAATTTATTCAGACAGAAGTGTACAGAATTTAACACGGATCATTGTTATCAGCCATAAAATCACAATGATCAGAATTTTAATATCAGTGCATCCCTAGTTACAGTACCTATTGAGTCAGCCAATGCTGTTTCACACTACGCCAACGGTAATGTTATGGCAAACAGCAGCATGTGGCATCACATTCAGACTGCTAGAATTGACATGCAGTTCATGTCGTCAGGATGTGTTGCAGGTAAAATTATTTGCCAGAGATGTTAGAGAACACACCTATTTTGAAAAACTGGTAGAACTCTTATTCAAGTAACCTTGATTCTCTAAAAACAAGTTGAAGAATGAAAGCACAGAGAAACCCACTGCTCATCTGAACCTCCTGTAGATTAGAAGTTTTGGCCCATAAAACAAGTGCAGGACAGCAGGCTTCTTATCAAAAACCAATACATATGCACACACACACACACACACACACACACACAGATCTCCTACCAAAATTAGAAGAGCACTTATCCAAGGAAGTCGCCTGTGTCAAGAGGACAATAACTGTAAGCCAAGTACTAGTGAACACAGCACATAAAGACCCACATGATCCACACATGAGATCATCTTACCTGGGTTACTGGAGGCATCATCCATGAAGTGCACGTCATCACCTGCACCAGGAGACTGCAAGAGAGAGACAGAGCGTGAGACGAGGAAACAGAGATCGGTAAGAATTCACCAGCTCATCTCTTTCTTTCCACCAGAGTAGACAACTGAAAGAGTGAAACCTTTAGGTGTCTCCCAAGAATAGCTCTTTTTGGCTGAATTGCTGAAATGCTGAGTGTAAATAATTATAATAATTTCTCATTCAATCTAAAAGACAAATGTAGATGACAAGATGAGGTCTTTTGAATGGCACAGAGGTTGTTTGGATCAACATGCTCTTGATATCTGAACCACGAGAGCTGTTCTGGGAGACGCCTCTTCACCTTCACCTGACCAGAAAGCACTTTGTAGGGGAGCTGAGTTTAAAACAGTCCAAAAAGACTCACACCACTGCTGCTGACAGACTTACTGAGGCACATCTAGATTAAAAATTTCAGGTCCATAAACCCTGCAAAATGTTCCTCTGTTAGAGAGCCAGGGATGTGTTGTTACAGGATTTGCCTAATAACGCCCCAATAATTGCCCACAACTAGGGTTGCAAAATTCCGGGAATTTTCAAGACTGGAAACTCTCCATGGGAATTAACAGGAATATATGGGAATTAATGGGAATAAACTGGTAATTTGCAAAATTGCAGGAACTGGGGACTTAAATGCAGTTGAGAAAATGTCTTGCCGCATAATCTTGGTTAAAACAACCTGATTTAATGCAATTTCAGTTTAATTTCTACCCTACACATTGCTCAATCACATGCACACACAGCACACTGCTTACTGCAGGGCTATTGAAGCCACACCCCCTACACGCACCGTGCTTTCCTCCATAACATGAACAGATCATTTCTTACATCCTGCACACAAAATATCAAAATCTCCATCTTGGTAAGTATTCATGTAAATTACATGAATATTACAAAAAAATTTTAATAACTGTGCGTAATATACTGTGCAACTAAATTAGGCTATACCATTGTAAAAACAAATACACTGACTGGAAAAAACATTTAGGTGAGATAATAATGAAACAGCAGTCTAAAAATGACCCTCTCCCACACACAATCCCCTCTAGTCACCTAAGAGGGGGATTCCCCTCCATTTTCTCTGAAGGCACACTTGCTGCATTTGAGCCTAAAGACCACATCTAAGTTGTGATTTTTTAAATATATTTGATCTATGGGATTCAAGTTTAACTAGTAAATACCAAAGATTTTTTATACAGTAGCTAACTAGCCAGTAAAATCAAGATTGCGAGTTAGCACTATTTCATTGACAATTTATGAGGTATAAACGAGCTCAAGCGGAGATGCTCTTTCTGCTAGCATACAGAAGTACAGTACTGGTCAAAAGTTTGGAAACATTACTATTTTAATGTTTTAAACATTGCATATCTTTTGCTCATCAAGCCTTCATTTATTTAATAACAAATACAGAACAAAACAGTAATATTGTGCAGTATTACTGGTATTACAATTTAAAATAATGGTTTTGTTTTAATATTCTTTAAAATATAATGTTTTTCTGTGATGCAAAGCTGAATTTTGAACATCATTACTCCAGTCTTCAGTGTCACATGATTCTTCAGAAATCATTCTAATATGCTGATTTATAATACATTTTGGAAACAGTTGTGCGGTTTAATTTTTTATTAATTTTTTTAAATTCTTTAATGAATAAAGAGTAAAAAAAGAACAGCGTTTATTTAAAATAGAAATCCTTTTTTAACAATACACTACCATTCAAAAATGTGGGGTCAGTATTTTTTCTCTTTTTTTTATTTATTATTAATTAATACTTTTATTCAACAAGGATGTGTTAAATTAACAAAAAGTGATGGCTAAGACTTATATTGTTAGAAAATATTTCTATTTTGAATAAACACTGTTCTAATAACAAATACAGAACAAAACAGTAATATTGTGCAGTATTACTGGTATTACAATTTAAAATAATGGTTTTGTTTTAATATTCTTTAAAATATAATGTTTTTCTGTGATGCAAAGCTGAATTTTGAACATCATTACTCCAGTCTTCAGTGTCACATGATTCTTCAGAAATCATTCTAATATGCTGATTTATAATACATTTTGGAAACAGTTGTGCTGTTTAATTTTTTATTAATTTTTTTAAATTCTTTAATGAATAAAGAGTAAAAAAAGAACAGCGTTTATTTAAAATAGAAATCCTTTTTTAACAATACACTACCATTCAAAAATGTGGGGTCAGTATTTTTTCTCTTTTTTTTTTTTATTATTAATTAATACTTTTATTCAACAAGGATGTGTTAAATTAACAAAAAGTGATGGCAAAGACTTATATTGTTAGAAAATATTTCTATTTTGAATAAACACTGTTCACTCATCATTCATCAATAAATCCTGAAAAAAAGCATCACAGATTTCCCCCCCAAAAATCAAAAAATTTCATTTTTTAAATTTGTATTAGTTTGCATGCATGGCGCCTCAAGATGGCGCCGCGGACCGCCGCCTCAGTGCTTGACACGATCAGCTTTACCAGGGATGAACAGCTGAACAATCGGCAGTACACACCACAAAATCTCCTACCGGATTTCGATTATTCGGATGTTTTGCTGAACATTGGCGGAGCTTGTCAAGCTCAGACTGCGCGGTTTTCGAACGCCGTTGCCTAGCATCCATCTGGCGAATCTCCGCTCTCTACCCAACAAAACGGACGAACTTCTTCTGCTCTCCCAGACAAACAAGGATTTTTCAAACTCTGCTGCTCTGTGTTCACGGAAACCTGGCTGAAAGACGCCATTCCGGACAGCGCGCTTCATCTGCCGGGCTTTCAGCTGTTCAGAGTGGACCGCGACGCAGAATCAATGGGGAAATTGCGTGGTTGCGGGACATGCTTTTACATCAATGAGAGGTGGTGTACATATGTAACTGTGTTGGAAAAGATGTGCTGTCCCGATCTAGTAGTGCTCTTCATTAACTGTAAGCCTTTCTACTTGCCACGGGAGTTTTGTTCGTTCATTCTCGTGAGTGTTTACATTCCTCCGCAAGCGCACGTGAGCCTGGCTTTACAGAAACTAGCTGATCTGATCACAGAGACAGAGCAACAACACCCGGACTCTGTTTGAATCATTCTCGGAGACTTTAATAAAGCAAATCTTTCCCGTAAACTGCCAAAATACAGACAGCATGTTACATGTCCCACCAGAGACAGTAATATACTGGATCACTGTTACACCACAATAAAGAATGCATATCACTCTGTTCCACGGGCAGCTTTGGGGCTCTCTGATCACTGTTTGGTTCATCTTATACCGACCTACAGGCAGAAACTGAAATCATCTAAACCTGTATTAAGGACTTTAAAAAGATGGACTAATGAAGCAGAGCGGGATTTACAAGCCTGCTTCGACCTCACTGATTGGAGAGTCTTTGAAGCCCGATGCCAACGATCTGGGCGAGTTCACAGAGACTGTAACATCATATATCAGTTTCTGTGAAGACATGTGCATTCCAACCAGGACTCATTTAACCTACAACAATGACAAACCATGGTTCACTGCAAAACTCAAGACAGCTCCGTCAGGCTAAAGAAGATGCTCGCAGGAATGGGGACAGATTCTTGTATAAACAGGCTAAATACACACTAGAAAAAGAGATCAGAGTGGCAAAGAGGAATTATTCTGGAAAGCTAAGGAACCAATTCTCTTCCAGTGACCCTGCTTCAGTGTGGAAAGGTCTGAAAGACATCACCAATTACAAAAAATCATCCCCCAGCACTGTGGAGAATCAACAACTGGCAGGCGATCTGAATGAGTTTTATTGCAGGTTTGAAAAAACACCATTCACACCTCCGGCAACCCCCCTTTTCCACCATCCAGCACTCCAGATCAGTGAAGATTATGCGTGTCAGGTCTTCAGAAAGAACAAGAGAAGAAAGTTCTACCATCCTGTTTGTGGACTTCAGCTCGGCTTTCAACACCATCATCCCAAACCTCCTCCTGTCCAAACTAACTCAGCTATCCGTGCCCACCTCTTTCTGTCAGTGGATCACCAGCTTTCTGACACAGGCAGCAGCTAGTAAAACTAGGAAAATTCTCATCCAGCACCTGTACGATCAGCACTGGCGTTTCTCAGGGTTGTGTTCTCTCCCCACTGCTCTTCTCCCTCTACACCAATGACTGCACTTCTAAAGACACCTCTGTCTAGCTCCTGAAGTTTGCAGACGACACTACAGTCATTGGCCTCATCCAGGACAGAGACGAGTCTGCTTACAGACAGGAGGTAAAAGAGCTGTCTGTCTGGTGCAGTCTTAACAACCTGGAGCTTAACACGCTCAAAACTGTGGAGATGATAGTGGACTTTAGGAGGAACCCCCCTGCTCTCCCCCCACTCACCATCATGGACAGCACTGTAACAACAGTGGAGTCTTTCAGGTTCCTGGGCACCACAATCTCTCAGGACCTGAAGTGGGACACTCACATTGACTCCATTGTTAAAAAGGCCCAGCAGAGGCTGTATTTCCTTCGCCAACTAAGGAAGTTCAACCTGCCACAGGAGCTGCTGAAACAGTTCTACTCCGCCATCATTGAATCCGTCCTCTGCACTTCAATAACTGTCTGGTTCAGCTCAGCTACCAAATCTGACCTCAGAAGACTACAGAGGGTAGTCCGGACTGCTGAGCGAATCACTGGTACAACCCTCCCTACTCTCCAAGAACTGTACTCATCCAGAGTGAGCAAAAAGGCTGCCAAAATCACTCTGGACTCCTCACATCCAGCACACTCCCTCTTTGAACTGTTGCCATCTGGTCGACGCTACAGAGTACTGCGCACCAGAACGGCCAGACATAGGAACAGTTTCTTCCCTCAGCTCAATTCATCTCATGAACACGACAATAAACGTGGAACACACAACACTACTATACATTTATTTAACACACATACTTTTTTACATTTCAAATTTGCACATATCATACATGTACATACGTAATTGTCTATATTATATATTGTGTTTTTGCTATTTTGTATATTATTCTTCTTATTACCTATGTCCTGTCTTGTCACTGTCATTCTGTTGCACTGTGGAGCTTCTGTCACTAAAACAAATTCCTCGTATGTGTAAACATACCTGGCAATAAAGCTCATTCTGATTCGGATTCTGATGCATGTGAGCCTATGACAAAATGTTTATATATATATATGTGTGTGTGTATATGATCGTTTTATAAATTCCCCCAAATTTCCAATTCACGTAAATTCCTGGTAAGTTTCCAATTTGGAATATTTCCAAAATATAAGTTCCCATGGAAAGTTTCTGGAAAATTTTCCACCCCTTTGCAACCCTACTCACAACACAACCTTTACTATCTTTTCACCTGATAATTTTAAGAAATGGCAGAAAATATACCAACCTCTGCTTTTCACAAAGCCTACTTAAAACACACAACAGTCCTTCCAAACACAACACAGGCATGCTGTACAAACCTTCACCCCCACCAAAAATATGTTGCCAACAAGTTCTTTTTCATTTTTTCTTTTTCAAAGGCTCAAAAAACCCTCTGAAAAACCCTAAGAGCAGTCAGGGTGAGCAGTCACATTAAGTCACATAACACAACACACAGTCAAATCATGGCAGTCTCAAAAGGCCACCAAATAACATAAGAATTCACCTGGCTTGCTGTACACTGCTTGGCTTGAATACAGTGCGCAGTAAATTAAGACTGACTAGCTGGCATTTTAAGTTTCTAACATAATCCAACAAATCATACATGTCTGGGTTTTAAAGGCAATTTTTAAATGGTAACTTACACTACAGTTCAGAAGTCTGGGGTCGGCAAGTTTTTTTTTATGTTTTTGAAAGAAACATTAGAATTACACTGCAAAACAGCATTAGAATTTAAAAAGCCTGTTTTCTATTTTAATATCTTTTAAAATGTCATTTATTTCTGTGATGGTAAATCAGAAATTTCAGCATCATTACTCCAGTCTTCAGTGTCACATGATCCTTCAGAAATCACTCTAATACACTGATTTGGTGCTCAAGAAATATTTCAATTTAAATTAAATTAAGATGAACAGAAAGTTACAAAGAACAGTATTTATTTGAAATAGAATGTAAAAGTCTTGGCTGTCACTTTTGATCATTTTAATGTTTCCTTGCTGAAAAAAAGTATTAATTTCCTTAAAAATCTTACCAACCATAAACTTTTAAATAGACTATGTTTGTAATACATTTCCTTGTAAGCTTGCTTGATGTTATTACAGCTAAAATGGAATTACATGTTTTACTCACACTTTTACACACACACACAAAAAAAACAGCAGTTAATAACTAGCAACACTGAACATTTCTGACACAGTAGTATTATGTGGCTATTGTGAGAGAAACACAAAATATCAGGTAAGTTAAAAAGTTTTGGCTGCATATCAGAGGACAAAATGTTTGAGAATGAAAATGCAAAAATATAAAAACATAGTAATAAGTAATAGAATATTTAAAAAAAATCCTTAAAAGACAATATGTGACCCTGGAGCACAAAACCAGTCTTAAGTCGCTGGGGAATATTTGTAGCAATAGCCAAAAATGTCAAAATGATAGATTTTTCTTTTATGCCAAAAATCATTAGGGTATTAAGTAAAGATCATGTTCCATGAAGATATTTTGTAAATTTCCTACTGTAAATATATCAAAACTTAATTTTTGATTAATAATATGCATTGCTACGAACTTCATTTGGACAAATTTACAGGCAATTTTCTCAGTATTCAGATTTTTTTTACACCCTCAGATTCCAGATATTCAAATAGTTGTAACCCGGCCAAATAATGTCCTACCCTAACAAACCACACATCAATGGAAAATTTATTTATTCAGCTTTCAGATGATGTATAAATCTCAATTTCGAAAAATTGATCCTTATCACATAAACTCTTGATATTACTATTGTTATCGGTCACTCTGGTTACAGGCTTTGTACAAGGCTGCCATGATTAGAGAAGAGAAATGACTTCTGTTGCCTGATCATACAGACACTATTAGACCCGTTTCTGTCTGAACAGGACAATGTGAGAGTCACAGCTGTTAGTAAAACCCCATCCATGACAAAGACATACTATTCCAGCTTAATTTATCAAGTAAATAATGCAGGTCTCAAAATCAATGGAATTTAAAAAAAATTCTGCATTAATTATACATTCCAAAGATTTGCTGATTGCTGTCATTGAAATTATCCAGATTAAGCAAAATTTATTGTAATGGGATATGCTGAAAAAATGGTAATTGCCAATTATGGATTGTGTCAGTCTCACAGATTTGGTGGTCTTTTGGTCTGGTATCAGAGGAAAAGTATTAGAACACTAACAATCATAAAAATGACTTCACCCCACATGCCCAATTTCCCTTCATACAAAGATCCAGAAACACAACCACAAAACACCAAGACCAAGAAACACAACGTTCCTTTGTTCCCATGACCCCCTGCATCCCCAGTAGAGCTGTCTCTCCCAGTGACATCACATGGAACAGCCACATTCAGCTCTTTTACTCAATTTGATAATCAAAAGAATGGCCTTCAGACATGCTGTAGGAGTCAGACCGGTTTGGCTGAATGTGTTATCAGCTGCTGTCTGAGGGTGAGTGCATGAGGCTGTACACAGAGCGGAGGGAAGGAGAGGACAAGATGTTTTCCTTTTGAGTGTTTTAGTGCATTAGTATGTTACCCCATGTTTTGGATCAACGCGAAGCCCATTGATCAAACTGAAAACCCCACCTCTACGCTACATCCGCATACCCAGAAGAGAAGCACATGGTATTGACAATGTAAGTAGATTAAGAACAGGATTTGTGTTAAGCTGTGGAAATGATCCTCAGAGCCGAAAACTAAACCCAAATTGCTGCCAACTATGATCCAGAATGATGCTTAAAGCTGCAGTAACACGAATGACCATGCTGCTCACGCTGGCGAGTACAGGGCCCTGACAGCTCACAGTTTTGAACTAGCTATCAGAAGGGCCAGGGAGAGAAGGAGCAGGGGAGCAGGGAAAGCCTGGCTCAAAGGGATTGGGCAGGCTGGACTCCTCGACGCTTTGCATGCAGGCAATACCTGAATGTCGTAAACAGGTTTGGAAGAAGGAATGGCAGCAAATTGTCGGTAGTCAAACTTCTTTTCTGACAGGGACTAAAAGGACAGCAAACAGGCATAAGCAGTAGAGAGATGGAGTGAGAAAAAGGCAAACTTCTTTTCTGACAGGGACTAAAAGGACAGCAAACAGGCATGAGCAGTAGAGAGATGGAGTGAGAAAAAGGGGGGGGGGGAATCAATATTGCAAAAGAGAGATGGCAGGATGGATGGAGGGAAGGAAGGACAGAGGGTGAGAAGCAGAGATGTGTAAACGTAGAAGAAAAGGAGGAGAAAGGACAACAAAGAAAAGAGAGAAAGGAAAATTTCATGGATGTTGCTCTATATGCTGGACATGACGGTTAGAGTAAAGAATGACTTTATCATTGAAAGTAAAAAAAGGATGGTTTGACATCCTACTAAGTGAATTTGTCTCCCAAAACAACATTACTGGTGATTCAAAATGTGCCGTTTGCTTTGTGCTAAATGGAAAAACGAAAGAAAAACCAATTGTCTCATACCAGTCTGCCTGGTGAAGTCACTGCCCGTGGACTGATATCTGTTTAGGAAACAAGAAATAAATTGAACAACTGACTCTTAAAAATGACCCAGTAACATACAAGAGTATACTCTGGCATTGTTTTACTGACAAAGGTAAATGAGATCGTCACCTTCTATTGGTGTTGGAGAGGGTGTGGGCGCAGGGGACGGCGACTCTGACAGCTGATCCAACGTGCCACGCTTCTTCCCCTCTTTAGACTTGGCAATGACCATCTGGGCCTTCAACGCATCCTGCTCTAGAGACTTCATCCTGGAGAGAGAGTGAGATACAGTGAGACACAGAGAGTGAAAGGAGAAATTCAAACGGTGCGTGGAGAGACAGGATGAGAGACTAAAGATAAGCAGAGGTGCTGTGCACACTGATTGGTTAATACAGGAGAACAAGTTGAAAAAATGTGTGAAAGTTATGAGAGAATCACACAAACTAGAGATGCACCGATTAGCTTTCATGCTATAAAACAACCGTCAATGGTCAAGGGAGAAGAATACTATATAGGCACTACAGGAGATAATTCACCCATTATTTACTGAATCTGCATTTTTGGGTATTATTCTAACGTTGTATGACCTTCTTTCTTTTTCAGACCACAAAAAATGTGCTCGTCTAAATGGCAGTGATTAGTGACCAGCTTTAACAAAAAGATGCAAAAGTATCACAGTGATCCCATACAACTCTTGTGGGTTTTGTAAAAAGACAAACCAAAATGTAATTAATGACTTAGTGAAAACCTGAACTTGGCCATTGGTTTTGATGTAGACGAAGGTAGGTTTATAAGACTATAATAGTTCAGGGTGAGTAAATAATGACTACATTTTCGTTTTTTTGGATGAACTATCCATTTAAGCCAGCCAAGAAAATTAGCTCTGCCAAACTTCCTTAGATTAGAGTTAGTCTCAGTATGGTGCACTCACTCCATGCAGACTTATATTGCAAACAAAAATGACACAAGTGTTCCAAAATCCCAAGCTCTAATCTTTAACAAGTACGTTATTGTTGTATAATTTCAGATTTAGCCAAACCTAAACATCACCTAAAAAAAGCTGTGTGGTTGGTTGTCTTTACCTTGCAATGTGGACTAAACATTGCTGAAATCTTACACGCATTTAAACTCAGTGAATATTGCTTTTTTGAACTCTGCCTGCATGTGAAAAATGTCAGGTTTTAACATGCCGCACCATTTTTATAGAAGCTTTTTATAGAAGCCCTTTTCCGCCACAGAATTAAAAAAAAGGTAATTGCGACTTTTTTAATTCTGAGATATAAACTAGCAATTCTGAGAACAGTCTTTTTCTCCCTCAGAATTGGACTTAATATCTCGCAAATCAGATTTTTTAAACTTGCAACTGCTGTTTATATCATTGTTTATATCATGCAAGTTTATATCATGCAAGTCAGAATTGAAAGATGTAAACTCACAATTGTGATAAAAAAAGTCAGAATTTTGAGATAAAACGTCACAATTAAAATTATTATTTTTTATTCACTGGTGCAAATGGGCTTCCATAGATTCTATATAAAAGTAACCAGCATCAGTGCTTTCAATGCAGGTCTTGTTAAAGACTATAACATGTATCAGTGCACCTCTAAATAAAACAACTGCAAGCAACTTGAATAATGACAAAAGAAAAACGCATGTTATTAGGACAATGCAAGACTTTTACATTTACACAGATGAGAGGCAAAAGTGAGTGAGCAGAGAGAAAGAGGGAGTGTGCTACCAAATAATAAATAAAATAGCACACGTGCAGAAGCAGTAGTAGGTTCTTGTAGGACACGTTCATCGTTTAGAAAAAGCCACTACAAAAATGGTTCACCCTTTACACACTATGCATTATAAAATGTCCACAAGCACCAAGCACCCCAAGCGTTGTCAAGCATCACAGCTAAGCCCCCATGATGCTTTCTGGCTGTTAAGGGCAGACCTGGGCTGACAGGAAGAGGAGGAGCAGGAAGTGGGAGGGGCTGCAGCGCTGCCTAGAGAGGCCCTCACACGGGACTGGTAGAGCCGCTTAGCCAGGTCTTGCTCATACTGCCTTACGTCCTCCTCTAGACCATAAGGCCTTGGGAGCAGTAAGAAAGTAGAGGATAGAAGATGGTAACACACAAAGAAAAGGAAAGAGACTACAGATGAAAGAAAACCCTCTGAAACGGACAGTAAAGATTAAGAAGGGAAGGTCTACATTGAAATTCAGGGCCTTCAAAGACAAATCCACAATATGAGATGTGCATGTAAAAATAAAATATATATCTATGTCATGGATTCCTATATCCAAAGAATGTGGAAATGGCTTTGAAAGCCCCATTTATCAAGGGGAAGATGAAATTTAAGTACCACAAGCGGACAGCTCTTTAGAGATCAGCATTACAGAGGAAAGGATTATACTAGAGAGAAAAACGCTCCTGATGTGATGTATTTCACGCAACACATCATTCTCTGTGGCCGTCATACCTGGCTGCTCTCCACATGGCTCTCTTCTCTGCTTCCAGGGCTCGTTTTTCAGCAGGGGATAGCTCCTTATCCATGGTGACAGCAAGCTCCGGGCTCTGCATGCGTAATCGGTCTTGATGTCTACGCTCTGCTTTGGCCGTCCGAATGGGAGCCACAGATTCACCGGCATAAACTGGGATCAAACTGTTAAGACAAACACTGGCTCAAGCAATTCAAATATCCCAAAAAATGCAAAACTGAACAACTTTAGGTTTCAGTGTTCCTCACCCCGTCATGGAGTTGGGTCTCTGTTCCAGTCTGAAGCTGTCTTCCATTGAATTCCGCTGAGAGTCTCCTTTACTGGATTACAAAATGATAAATATTACTATTTTATTACTATTAAATGTTTTGATGCACCTTTCAAATGTTTGCGGTCAGGTCAGTAAGATCTTTAAATAAATTAATACTTTTTTCAGCTAGGACAAAGTAAATTGATCAAAAAAGACACAGTTACAATTATTACAAAAGATTTCAAATAAGCACTATTCTTTTGAACTTTCTATTCATCAGAGAATCCTGAAAAAGGTGCATCACATTTTCCACAAAATATTAAGCAGCACAACTGTTTCCAACATTGCTCATAAGAAATGTTTCTTGAACAGCAAATCATATTTGAAGGATTTCTGAAGGATCATGTGACACTGAAGCAACGGCTGCTGAAAATTAATCTGTCACAGGAAAATAAAAAGCCTTTCAAAATACATTAAAATTAAAGACAGTTTTAAAATTGTAATATTTTATAATATTATTGTTTTACTATATTTTTAACCAAATAAATATCTAGAGTTTTTGTGTGCTTTTAAGAGACTTATTTTATAAACATAAACTGTTCCGACCCCACTCTTTTAAATGGTAGTCTATATTTTTATATGTATTTATTATAATAATCAAAGATATCAGAATTGGAGTTCTGGACGTTCAGAGTGTGTTTTGTAATCAAAACTTCAGCAAGCAAACAAAACCCCCCACTACCATATGAAAACCACTTTGCAACTTTGAAATACTAACAAACAATTGAGCAAACGTGTAGCTCACCCTGAGCCGCCACAGTGGCTGGGAGGTGTGGCACACTTCCTCGGAGATGGGGAACTGTGGCCTCCCAAGCTCTCCACCTTGTACTCCACACCATCTAGGACAACCTTTCCGTGAGCCTTCATATCTGCCACCTGCTTCGCCAGATCTTCCTCCTCATCCTCCTCATCTTCATCCAGCATATACTCTTGTGCCCTCTGTTCAATTAGTTTTGCTGAGGAAAGTCGTTTACAAACTATTTAGCATGATTCAACAATGAACTCAAGCATCCTGTAGCTTAACATCAACGTTTGACAACTAAACAGACGCAAACCTTCTTCCTCTTTCATTTTCTTCAAGTCATCTTCTCCCACAAGTGAGATGCGAGGTTTGGGTTTGTCTGGTGTCTGCTGCTTCACATCAATCTCAAAATATTTCTGCCTGTCTCTGAAGGAGCGCTGCTCTGGGCTGTCTCTGCCAACAGAGGAGGGGGTCTGGTAGAGAGAGAGCGAGGATTCAGATTTCAGACCAATTGTAAAGAACACCATATAAGCAACCAAAATTTACATGCACTGACACGCAGGAGCAAGTCCCGTTAATTCTGAAATTCAGACAATGATTAATAATTTGCATAAAGTTTCCAAAACTTTGCCGATCCACCACCATGATGAGTGCATAATATATGCTGCCACTGCAAAAATACTTTCAAATTACTGCTCTCCTGAAGCCTCTTCTCACCAATAATAATTGCTTTGATTCAGAACACCGACCGATCACGTTCCCATATTTTACCAAAACACATGCTGCCAGATGATCGGGCTTTCTTGACATTGCGGACACACAATTTATCACGTTTCTTTGTTGCAGTTCAAAGCGACACATACACCTGCACCACCACCACTCAAGTTTAGATGAATCTGAAGAGTCAGAGTGGTTCTGCTGGAGATCAGCTGGGTACCTTCGGCTCCACTGAGGGGCGAGGCAGGTGTGGCACTGCTGCCAGGCTCCTGTACTCGCGGCGGTCAGATGAGAGGGGGGGACGAGGCCTGAGAGGACCACTGCCCTCACCATCAGCCTCATCCATAAACACCTCATTATTCAGCTCAGGCTGAAAGACCCATCATGTACAGCATATCAACCCCACACTTGCAGACAATATTGCGTATTGAGTTGTGGTGAGACAGTACACACCAAACAAGGGTTATGGGTCAGGCTCATTCAAAAGTCATCATCATGTAGAGAAAAGGTTGGAATACACCACACGACTTTTCAATTCTGAACACAACATCAGTATCAAGCAGTGGGTTATTCAGTCGTTGAAAAAAAGTTGTGACACTTAAAGTGTCATGAAACCCTAAAACACATTTTTTGAGATGTTAACATATAGGAACAGGTTGCACATCAGTGAAAACAACTTTAGCACTCACTATGTCTACAGTATTATTAAGGTAAAAGTGTTTTTTTCTTTTTTTTTTTGGTGCAATTTCGTTCTTCCGGTTCAAAAAGCAAAGTTGAACCAACGTCACGAAAAGTGAAGTACATGGGTTCATTTGCAGTAGTGATTGGCGGCTGTGGCTGGAGAGTATGCGTCTACATCATCAGTTTTCTGAGCTTTTCTCAGTATTATTCATGAGAATGAAGTCTTACGAGCCAATCACTGCACTGTATTATGAGGTTGTATTATAGCAGAGAAATTTAAATCTCATGAAAGAGCTTGCGCTGTCAGTTCATCTCTGTAAACATGACTGTAACAATATTTAATATGTAACAAGACGTGGAGCGTTTCTGACTGGAACGCCGCAACGGGTTTAATAACACTCACTGCACGGATCATAGTTAATATCCTGACCAGAGCAAGCGTGTTTAAAGTTTGTGAACATATTTAATATTCTCTCGTGCTCCGAACATGAACGAGCACCGTGTCTGCGCACATAACATGTCTTCTTTAAATAAAAGACGTGCAAACAAGGGCGCTGATACAGTGGTATGTCTGATCTTGAACACGATGACACAACGGATTATTGTGATACACAGCAAATGATATAGAAGAGTAAACAGAAAGTAACTGCCTTTATTCTTTCTGTTTTAAAGATATTTTAATATTCATTTGTCTATATAATGAGTGTGTTGTAGGTGTGTGTTTTATTGGTTATTGTCTCCCCTCTTCCCACCCTCTACACTCCCACTTTTCCACAGTTTTACACGCCCATTTCTGGAGTCTTTTTCAGATCTAAGGTGTGAAAGACCAGTGCTGAAACGGGGGTTTCATGACACTTTAAAGCCTACTTTGTGATTCTGTTGACAAACATGCTTATAGTGCATTATATTCAGCGTGTTTATTGCTAGCGCAGCAAAAATAGACAGCAAAGCTGTCCTCATGCGCTTGCTGCTGCTCTTTGTAATCACATTAAAACTACTTAAATGGTACAAGGAGTGTGAATTTGTACGTTTACAACAGAAATCCTAAAACGTATTTAAGAGTTTGACTGACCAAATCGACTGGCTTGGTTTGACCCCCCCCCAAGCTCAAATGTCAAGCTACACCTATGATAAAAACAATGTGTTCTAAAACTGGCTCAAAATATCAAACATGCTTGATATCCTCTGACTGAACAGCATCTGAAGCTTAAAAATTGGAGTCTGCGGCACGGTTTTCTGTGAAATCTGTAACCTAGTCAGAGGTTTTGGCAACTAGTATCGACTGATCCAAATTGAAAATTGGAGCAAAAAAATCTGTGAAGAAGTCGTATAGTGTATTCCAGCTTTAAAACATCACTTCAAAAATGACACAGATTACAAATGAAGACATACCTCTGGTGACGGTTGCTTTGCGCTGACATAGTTCTGCGGAGAGTAAAGATCCTAACAAATGAGAGTGAAAAGGAAAGATTCAGTCAAGACACTTTATACAAACAAACCTCAGACACAAGACTTGAATTGGACGAAAGGAAACACTTTACACGCAGCCAAGGAGTCAAACATCGAACGACCAAGTGACAGATGAATGATGCACATTAGTGTTCCTGTCAGATGAACTCCTGGATTCGACACCACCATGAGTGACTCATGCACCACGACAGCAAACAAGCTCCCAAAGGAACAAAATGTCCAACGGGAAGACCAAGCACTGGATGATGGGGAAACCACGACATGCTCACAACCTTGAGGAGCATTTGTCCTACCTGTGGGGGTTCCAGTACAGCCAGGGAGTGTGGCACAGCTGCGAAGGCCTTATATACCTGCTTGATATTGATGGGGTATTCCTCATGTGTGTCAGGGGATAGGGCACTAGGCTGTACGAGGGGTCGGGGAGGTTGAGGACAGAGGGGTGGAAGGGTAGAGAAACAGACAAAGGACAAAAAGGATGGAACAGCTAATGAGAGACAGAGCAGCAAAGGCAGAGCACAGGAGGAAAATGCAGGGCTAGACCGCATGCAGCCCGCGATCGTGATCATGTCAATGAAAGGATGGAGGGAGAGGAGATAGTTTGATAGTATGAGGGAGGTCTGTGGTTATGGTGACGACTCGGGGCAATATTTTGGTTTACACTGGTATCCTGAGATAATGCGAGTGTAAACCTTGCTGTGCAAACAATGTGGTTTATGTGATATGGGGAAGAAAAAAAATTAAAAAGAGTCGTCTTTTGATAAAAAACAGGCACAATGTTACTTGCAGTGAGAAGTTGATAAGTCTTTGATTTTTTTAAACAACCCGTTTCTTTGACCTGGATTATGGTGTGACTGTTTGTAAGGCTTAACAGGCACAATTGGAATGCATATGGAGAAAATAAAACAGTGGCGTTCTGTTGGTCTTTAGGCATTGGTAACTGAGGATGAAAGGGGGCCTCATTATGGTTCAGACAGTGGTGAGGGATCTTACAGTGGTCTGAGAGTTGATGGGAGAGAGGCCATGCTGGAAAGGGTTGGGACTGCTGTGGCCATCCTGACTGGCTGGAGACACAGCGGGTCGCACCCGAGAGAGAGGCTGGATGGCACCAGGTTTAGTCTAGAAAGAGAGAAAAAAAATTGACAATAAATCCAGCAATCGACCACAAATTTACGCAATGTTTCCAACATAATATGGCTATTAATGTTATTTGCATCAATATTATCAGGAACTTGCTCTAGGAAAATTTACAAGTTAAATCTGCAAATTGGACACTCACTGATGAATTATCCTTGGTGTTTGCATTTGAAGGGAAATGAATGTTTGACTGAAACAAAAAAGAGAAATATGAACATGATATAAAATTAAGAGGACAAAATTTTTTTTCACATGGGATTAGCTTTCTGAAGTCAAGTAACCGCCTGAGACTTATTATATTCATAATATAATTATATTCATAGCTCATATTAAATTATATTAGCGTTCAAAAGTTTGGGGTCAGTAATATTTATTTAAAAGAAAATAATAATTGTATTCAGCAAAGATGTATTAAATTGATCCAAAGTTACAGTAAAGACTGTCATTTACTTAAACTTTCTATTCAAAGGATCCTGGGGGAAAAAACCCAGTTTCCACACAAATTTTGATTTCTGAAGGATCATGTGACACTGAAGACTGGAATATTGGCTGCTGAAAGTTCAGCTTTGTCATCACAGAAATAAATTACACTTGAAAATACATTGAAAGAAAACAGTTAATTGTAATAATATTTCACAATATTACAGATTTTTCTGTATTTTTGATCAAACGCATGTAGTCTTGGTGAGCATGCGAGACAAAAACCTACTGACCCCAAACCTTTGAACAGTAGTGTATATAATGTTATATACACTTCATATGATTCACAAGGCCTTCATACACAGTGTTAATTTACCAGGCTGTAGTTACACTCTCAATTGCTTGGTTTGGTGGAAATCCTAAATAAGAGTCAAGCATTTCACTGCTGCAGAGAGCATGAAAAGCAGGACATGCTCAGAGTTACACTGGCCCGTATTCCATTCAGCTCTTAACATCTAATGCAAAGCCAAGTGCAGCTGGTGCAGGCCATACAAGGGCTAGTCAGCCCACTTACATATCGAACCTCCCTTCCAAGCATCACAGAGGAAGATTTGTGGGACTTCTGAGAAATATGGAAATGTCATGACGAGGGGCGGAATGAGAGCACAGGCCATCAACCAGAACACTACCTTAATGAACATGTAAACAAGGCCTGCCTTTGACCATGCAAAACATCAGCATAAATCTGTACAGGCTTATCCATGGTACTGTTTGACAGTCACATGAAAACAAATGAGAAAAGAAAGGGCTGATGATGAAAAGGGAGTGAATATGCTCTGAAATGGTACTGACCTGTGAGTTCTGTGGAGAGTGAGCAGCATCTCGGACAGGACTGTCAATCCCGTGAGGCTCAGACGGTGAAGACTGAAATACAAATAAAAGGAACATCCATCACAACATGTCACGAGAACAGGAGAAGGAAAGAAATTGCTTGAGGTCAGTGAAGTATTTCACAAAGCAAGATGAGGCCTGCCGTTTCCAATAAGCAAAATTGGCCAAATTACAAAGTAGTGCATTAAGAATAAACAATCATGTGCAATTTTATAAAAGCAGTTCATCTTGATTTGAGAATAACATTAATAGCAAACCATAAACAACTGCCTTAAGCAGGTTATAATATGCTTGCACATTGCAGTTGTTCTATTTCTTGCTCTTATGATGTGATTGATGACAAATGTGTTGTATTACGTGCCACAGATCATTTGAAATCAAACAGTGGTGCCATAAAATAAATTTTTTCAAACAGTGTCAAGAACAATGTCATGCTACAGAAAGAGACAATGTCTCAAATGTTACTTTAGAGACCATGGTGTTTTATATTCCTGGAAATGGTTGGTGGCCAGTCTTTATTTAAGGTGAGAGGCCTTTACCCTTCACCCTTTTTGTTTAACACCTGTTGACTTCACATTCAAAGCATTCTCAGTCTCTCTGGGAATGTTCAAATGCCTCAAGACCATAAGGTTGCACACATTACAGGGTCCCATTTTTGTATCCGCTTCATTTTCAGCTTCAGCCATTTTCTAAATATAGGAAATGTGTATATAGACATGTATATTTCAGTGAATTGACGTTTTCAAAGACATCTGAAAATCTAAAGCAGCTATCAGTAGAAATCTTTGTCTGAAATTTGAGATTTAAGTGCTATGTTAACTCTAAATAGCTACTGATGACACAACCATGCTAGACCAGAAAACACACTCAGTCAGAAAACACACTCCACAAGGCTGCTTGCCTTGCTGTACAAGCAGGGCTGCAGCTGCCCATGCCTGCCATAACCCACAGGTGGCCCTGATAAAATGCGCTCCTCAGGAGGGCAGCCTTTGCTCTTGCGATTAGCCACAAGGAAGGGATTTTCACTAAAGCAGATTGGCTGGGAGTCCACAAGACATTCTTCTTCCTCTTTAGCTTCTTGTGGGACTCCTGGAGCTGGGAGGGGGTCCCATGTGTCGGCTTGGGGAGGTTTTGAAGCCGCTGAACTTGCGGCTGGGCAGACTGGAGACGAAGGGAGGGCAACGGGTTCTACATGGTACATAGAAGCATGGACTTTCTCAAAACCCAGGGGGTTTACAGGGACGGCCGGCATGGCAGCCTCCATTGTGAAGAATGTAGCAAAGGAGGGAGAAAACTGAGGAATGAGAGAGAATATGTTCGACAGACAAAAGGGAGAATTAATGTGAGATGGAAACAAAAACAAATAAAAGAGCAGAACAACCAATGATTAGTGGTCGACCGATATTGATTTTTTGACTGCTGATGCCGATGCCTTGGAAAGCAGGGGGGGCCGATAGCCGATGTAATTTGTTTTTAATTTTAATTAATATTTAAGAAATTTGAAATCATTTGACAATGGATTAAAAAATGTGTAAAATAAACATACTTATACTTTAGATGACAAAGTACTGTTCACAAATAAATAAATATTTAATACAAATATAATTAAAAAGGAAGTAAACACTGTAACCAACAGGGCACTCCGTATTCTGGGAAGTTTGTGTGCATTGGGAATCATATTTTTCTAATATTTTACATAAAGCACACAGAGAAAATGACATGAATATGACAGTGGGCAAATGCATAAAGTGCAGCATAATTTGAATTCACAAGTTCAAAGTTTAAAGCATTAAATTCACATGGACCGACAAGAGGGAGAATGGGAGCACTGTGTGCTCAGGTGTTGCCGTTCTCAGCGCCATCAAAATAAATGTATCGCCTCGAACACAATGGACAAACAGAAAAACTTATCGGCCGATATTTGAAAAAAATGCCAAATATCGGCCGATATATCGGTCAACCACTACTAATGATATACAAAAGGAGGAAGAAAATGACATGGCATCACACAAAAAGATAGAACACAGCAAATGTAAAAGCAAAGAAAGGAAAAGCAGTACAGAATGAAACAGATGGGTTTAGTCTGGCAGAGTTGGAAGAAATAACAGCCATGCTAAAGACAATCATCTACAGTCACTCCGATTCAGATGAGTGAGGAGCTAAATACAGCTATCCCATCATCCTGAGACATCTCACAGTAGACAGTCATTCAATCCAGAAGAACATTTGCACTGAATCTGCTGTGAGTGCTGTAATGTAGACTTTGCTTTTATATTTTGAGTTTTAATTTTAGTTTTCATAATTTAGTGCTTGCTTTTTAAATATATATTCTTTGAATATTATATTTTTATTTCAGGTTTAGTTTATGATATGCAAGTACCTAAATGTATTTCAGTTAGTTGCCAAAGCAACATCTCTTTCTTGATTCAGGTTTTTTTAATCTAATATTTATACATTTTATTTCAGCTTTATTCAAATTAGCAAAAATTATTTAATAGTTTTAGTTAACAATAACACTACTCTTTTAGTGGTGACAGTTACTACATTTTGCTTTAGTAGGGACTAGAGAGGTATTTGCAGTTTAAAATATTATTCAACATGCTTTACATACAACCTAATAGAAACCACATGTAGTAGTTTTTAGCAGTGCATGTAACAAACACTTCCGAGTGAGCCCTTACCACAATACACAAACATTTCCTTAACTGTCATTACTATTAGAGATGCAATTTTACGAAGTGTTATGAAACGGTACACTGGATTCTCATCACAGTAAAAAACAAACAAACAATTCAGGTGCAATTGGTGGCACATTGTGATGCTTAAGATGTTACTGTCGCACACAACTAATGGCCTCATACTGATAAAAGCTTCATTCAATGGCTCTTGTGCAGATAAAAGACACTGCTCTGATCTGATCTATAAATAGCCATGACTAAACCGTACTTCATATACCACAAAATTACGTGAGGGAGAAAACCGTGTGCTAGTGTTTCCCTATAAGAGCAGTCCACCCCCTCTCCATTCCTCACTTGACTTTGCAAACAGCTGCTAGTGCTATGTAGGTTAAACATTTCTAGAAGAGAGACATAGGCTAAAAATGCTTACAAGGGACAAGGAATATCTTGTAGTTTGTAAAAACAAGTTATAAAGCTCATATTACAACTGTTACATGTTAAAACATTTACTGAATATCACTGATTGATTGAGTAACTACTGACATTCAATGTCCAACAACTAATGGCTATTGCGATTATTACAGTAATCAAATCTAATACCTAAATAAAATGTAACAAGTTTTACTCTCTCACACACACACACACACAAAAAAAAAACATTCAGAAAAAGAAAAGGAAAAACTAGTAAGTAAAGGAGGTATGAGTGCTGAAGAAATGACAGTAAAAAATGAGAGTTGTAGAGTAATAACAGTGATACACTCACAGTAAGATGACCGGAGCAGATTCCAAGCGGCTCGACTCTAGATAACTTAACTGTCAAGATCCTCCAAGGGTCCCTTCATCCTCAAAGACCACACCCACCCATTAAACCATTCAGCCAATCAGCTCACAGCACACATTTTAAAATAACTTGAGCTACTGTCAGCTGTCGGCCAGCACCTCCCCCTCACTCCAGTTCAAGCACCAGCAAATACAATCTGTGTTCTGTCAGAGGTATGGCTGGAATGACATCCAGCCCTGCTGCTGCTGAAGACTAAAGCCAGCAGCTGGACTGCTTCACCTTTGGCACTACTAGTACAAGCAGCACTACTGGACAAACGTATAGCTTAACCTGATAAGAGTTTTAGAAGACCAATATGCTAAGCATTCAAAAGCAAGTAAGGAAACATTTCTGCAAGTTACGTTTACTTACTCTATTCACTTTCTGTAGGCTAGTGGTAGGTAGAGCCGCCAGTGTCTTGTAGTCCAGTTTCAGTGGTCCAGTGCTCAAATTCTGTATAGAGAGGGTTATAAAGAGCACAATGAATGATCATTGTTCACTAAAAGAACATGTTCAAAAATCTTCTAAACATTAATTAGATATTTCATTAAGCATGAGGACACTGATCCTACAGAGCTTCTAGAGCTCAGATGTGACTCATTTGTTCATGTTCAAGGTGACGACAGGTCCTGTGGTTCGCTCCTGGAGCCCTAATGTGGGCTGTAAAGACAGGTAGGGCATACAGCCTCACCTCAGTTTCCTCCTCCAGCAAACGAGTTGCCTCCTCGCGCTCCAAGCGCATACGCTCCTTTACCGAAAGAGGGAAGCCAAGGAGGGGGTGGGGGGATAAAGTTTACCCAATCACACACATACACAGACACACATTTTGCCCACACAAATATGGACACACACACACACGACATCCATTGCACAAATGGGAATGAGGTTTAGGTGATGCAGAATCATGGATGAATAATAAAACCAGGGACCATGAAGACACAAGAACATATTTAATGAAGGAGATGAATAGAAATGAGCAGAAACAAAATGTGATGTTTGGAATGAGCAGCACCCATGATCATTCAGAAGGATTTCGGGGAAAAGAGGGGCATAAGATAAGAGAAAGAGAGAAAGAAAAGGACAGATCCACATATATTAGTTGCAGTTATAGGAAAGATTTGGAAGTGGTCGTCATTTTGATAGCTTATTATAATTATTATTACAGTATGTTATAAGAAAGGTGTTTAGGGGAGGAAATCACTCACCACTTTTTCCATCTCCTCCCGTTCCCACTGGGACGTCTCTCTCACCATCTCTACCTCCTGCAGGAAAGGTCAGACAGACAGATGTTATTTTTCCCACCCACTCCTCTATTGTTCCTGCTCTGTGTGATGCATAGAGCTCACCTTCTGCATGATGTCAATCTCTTCCGGACTCAGGTCTCTGTCTACTGATGAGATGCTCTCCATACTGTTCTTACGAACAATACCTGCCGCAAACGGGTTTGCAATAACACCAGGCGATGCCTGAAAGAAATAACAAATAAATATGCAAAATATGTAGTAATATGTAGCAAAATATATGCATGCATATTAGAATGATTTATAAGGGATTGAATGATATCAATATCGATATATATATATTATATATTATATATATTATAATATATATATATATTTAGCGATATCGTTGACATGATTGCAAAGATATTATTTAAACTGAACTAAGCTGGATGTTGACATCACTGAATTCAATGATGAACTGTCTTTAACTGAAAAATGAGTGTTTACTATTGTCATTTTGCATTATTGACACTATTTTCCTAATTAATGCTGTTCAGTTGCTTTGTCACAATCTGTATTGTTAAAAGCGCTATATAAATAAAGGTGACTTGACTTGACTTGACTTGAATGACACCGAAGACTAGAATAATGGCTGCTGTTTTTACTGTAACTGCAATCAAATAAATGCAGTCGAAGTAATAATAAGAGACTTCTTTCAAAATCCTAACTATTCCAAACTTCTGGCCGGTAGTGCCAATACATATTTTATTACATCTATAATAATCTAAGTCACAGTTGGACATCAGAGCAGATCTCATGTCCTCCTGAGCTGTATAACTAGGTCTTTACCTCGATGCCTGCAGCGTTTCGTGGGTCAAAGCCATCACACACAAGCATGACCAGGGAGTCACCGGAAGCACGCAAGACCCTCACTGCTTCCGTGTGTGTCATACCCAGCAGACTGTTGTTGCCCACCTCAAGAATACGCATGCCTAGTCGCAGTCGGCCATCTCGTGCAGCAGCTCCGCTGGAGCTCACCTACAGCATGGAATAAGAGAAAAAAAATCAAGGACTTAAATGACTGATGTTGTGAGGAAGTAGTGAAGTAAGTAACTAGACCCGTCATTTTTATGTTATCAGAATCCTGCAGGGTTTGTGTCTTATATCATTGCATTGGTTACCTTGGAAATGAAGATGCCCTCATCTGTGGGGTCAAAGGGGTTGCCTGCATGGCCTTTAGCTCCACCCCTGATGCTGATGCCCAGCTTTTCTCCAGGCTGCTTGTGAATGACAATCTCCTACAAAATCACAGGGATGTTTTAGAGGGTATTTGAGGATGTTCTGGTCTCATTAAAAGTCTCAAAAGTATTTGAGATTGAGATCATTACCAATCAAAAGTTTTTAGGTCATTAGCATAAGTATTTGTACAAGTGTCTTTCTCACTGCAGGCCATTTTGGCGGATTTTCAGGAAAAGACCAAATGTGATATTTATTAGATTTGACTGAGCTGGCGGTAACCAGCCATACTGCAGGTTTTGCTTACACTTCTCCTCTACTAATCAGAGTGTGTATACCTGCATGCCAGGGGGCGAGGGATCTCTGCGCACAAGCATGCGGATCTCCTGCTTGTTGGAGAGCAGGGCTCTGACAGCTTCCTGATGTGTGGCATGTCGTAGGTCGATGGTGTTCACCTCCAAGATACGATCGCCCACCCGAAGTCCACTCTGAGAGGCCAAGCCATTGGGGATGACCTACCCAGAAACAAAAAGGTCAGAAATCAATTCGGACAAAAGCGCCACAGAACACAAATCATGCCATTCCTTTTTGACATAAACCTGCATCATACAACATTATTTATTTTACCTTTGAGATGAACACTCCTGGCTCATTAATTCCAAACGGGTGGCTGGCATGATCGCTACCCCCTACAATGCTCAGACCCAGGGGTCCACCTGCTTTGATCAGTGTCACTTCCTGTCCAGACAGGAAATTCAGATGTATGAAAAAGGAGCACTGATTTAGCAGTAGATCTGATAAATGCAGTGATAAAAAATCTGCGAAATTAATAAATAATTATATATACATTAGGGCTGCCCCCTAATAGTCGACTAATCGTTAGTCGACCAGAAGAGGCTTGGTGGACCAAAATGTTATGTATTCGCTTAGTCGCAGAAAAAGAAGAAGAAAAAAAACGCAGTCCGTGACTAACGGCTAGTCTATGGTAATACAGTACATCGGGCAGGACATCCAAACGCTCGCCTTATCATTCAATGACCTCAAATATGGCTTATCATCTGAAATGTGTAAATATTAGCAACTGTACATGGACACTCAATCTAATGTTAATCAAGAGAAATGTGCACTATTCAAGTGTTTGCGGAAACTGAACAGTAGCACGCTCACCGCATGACGGAGGCGCCGGTGCGCTCACTCTTAATATACTGGTAATTTTTGCTCATACAGATAAGAGTAATACATCTTTCAAATCTGTAAAGACTCTACGTTTATTTGTGTGCACTCACAATAACAACAAATCGCGCTTTTGTGAAATAATGAAAGCAAACACGATGCTCTTTCTGCCGTCTCGTTCTCTGTGAACTTGAGCACAAAACACCGTGTATATCTTTACCTTACAGACATGAAAAATTTATCTATAGAGAGTGAAATGTCTACTTTCAAATAAGGCAATTCAAATGGAAAACAAATATTCTCAGATTATGTCATCCGTATGAAACATGCATACAGGTGCAGCAGTACTGCGGAGATGACGAGTCAGTGTCGCCGACTACATCTCTTAAACCGAAAGCAAAGAAAGCACTAGTTTATAAAATTATTAATGTTTCATAACCATTACTTCTGCGGTGCGCTGAGGCAAGCTTTATTCATGCGCTTGAGCGCATATATTAGGCTATGTAGGCAATTAAAGGCTTATTATAATGATTTAAATGGTTTATTAATAAACGTGATTAGTCGACTAATGCTTAAAATGAATGACTACTAGTCGACCAAAAAAATCCTTAGTCGAGGACAGCCCTAATATATATATATATATTCAAAATTTTGGGGTTGGTAAGATTTTTTTGGAATGAAAAGAAGTCTCTCCTGTTTACCAAGGCTGCATTTATTTAATTAAAAATACAGCAAACCCACAACAGCAATGTTGTGAAATATTACTACAATAAATACGAAAGATAAATAATCTTTTAAATTAATCAATAACTATAAATGTGATTTTTAATTTTAAAATTTACATTACCATTTAAAATTGTTTTGTTTTGTAATGAAAAGAAGTCTCATGTTCACCAAGGCAGCTTAAAATTAAAATTAGGGCTGGCGGTATATCAAGTTTGTACGATATATCGATATTTTCTTTATAAGCGATTCGATATGAGGCAATACCGTTTATATCGACAGTTAGTTTGATACGAGCGCATCTGAAAATATAGCGGAGGACAGACTGAGCTGCTGCGGAGAAAGTGCATAATCCAATTTGTTCTAAACATGTGACAAGCTTCATATTAAGGCCTTTAAAAACTGGTAAGACATAGTTTATAGTTTCTTTTCGCATATTAGTTTAATCGGCTCGGCCCATCAGATGCTCTGACAGAAAGGCTACGTGTGCCGCTGACAGAGACAGGTTAACGTTACTCGTGCCGTTTAATGTGTGAGATGTGTTGTCTTCCTGAATGCATAACTTACACTTCACAGGTATATTCTCCATCTGTAAATGTTAGAAAGCCATGGAAATATTCCCATTTTTATGTCAGAAGTGCATGAGCCTTCTGCTTTGGGATTCTCCGCTCAACTTCACTTAAGTGAACGAGCGCCGCCGCGCGCATGCGGGACAAACAATAATTCTGACTAAAATATACATTTCGCTGAAATATTTGTAGTTGGACAATAAATGTGGCATGTAGAATTTTAAACCTACAAGTAAGTCTATTCTTATGATAGCACTGACTGTAAAGTGACTGTAATAACACATTTTACTAGCTTTTGTTCTCATTTATTTCTCATTGTTCTCATTTTTAGTTTAGTGAATTTAACTTCCGCTTTAAAAGCCTTACTTTTGTTTTTAGATTGCAATGTTAAAATGTTAGAATGAAATGTGATTTTAACCCTTTTTTTGCACATAATATAAAGGCTTACATTCTTACATTACATTCATAATATAAAGGCTGGTTACATTCACTTTATTTGTTTTCATAGCCTTTAATATGTATTGTTTTATTGGACAACATTGGGCAGTAAGTGAAATATATGTATATATATATATAATACAGAGTTTTTTAAAATACAAATACAAAAATGAAAATACCAAGATATATACACCGTATATCGCAAATCGGCCAAAAAATACTGAAATATGAATTTTTGCCCATATCGCCCAGCCCTAATTAAATTGATTAAAAATACAGCAAAAACAAAACAGCAATATTGAGAAATATAATTACAATTTAAAATAACTGATTAAAAAAAATATAAACATTTAAATCATTGGTGCTCAAAAACATTTCTTACTATTGTTAATGTTAATAACAGCTGCTTACTGCTGCTTAAGTGCTGTTTAATATTTTATTCTTATGGTATTCTTAATCTTAATTTTTCTATGGAAACTGTGGCATTGTGTTCAGGATTCTTTGATGAAGACAAAGCTAAAAAACAAAAAAATATTGAATTTATTTTAAATGCTATTGTAGTATGAAATGTATTTACTGTCACTTTTGATTCATTTTAATGCACCCTAGCTGAATAAAAGTATTAATTTCTTAAAATATATATATATACATACACTGAACAAAATTATAAACGCAGCACTTTTGTTTTTGCCCCCATTTTTCATGAGCTGAACTCAAAGATCCAAGACTTTTTCTATGTACACAAAAGGCCTATTTCTCTCAAATATTGTTCACAAATCTGTCTAAATCTGTGTTAGTGAGCTCTTCTCCTTTGCCGAGATAATCCATCCACCTCACAGGTGTGGCATATCAGGATGCTGATTAGACAGCATGATTATTGCACAGTTGTGCCTTAGGCTGGACACAATAAAAGGCCACTCTAAAATGTGCAGTTTTATCACACAGCACAATGCCACAGATGTCGCAAGTTTTGAGGGAGCGTGCAATTGGCATGCTGTCCACAGGAATGTCCACCAGAGCTGCTGCCCATGAATTGAATGTTCCTTTCTCTACCATAAGCCATCTCCAAAGGCGTTTCAGAGAATTTGGCACACAATTCCTGGAAGCTGAAAATATCCCAGTTCTTGCATGGCCAGCATACTCACTGGACATGTCACCCATTGAGCATGTTTGGGATGCTCTGGATCGGCGTATACGACAGCGTGTTCCAGTTCCTGCCAATATCCAGCAACTTCGCACAGCCATTGAAGAGGAGTGGACCAACATTCCACAGGCCACAATCAACAACTTGATCAACTCTATGCGAAGGAGATGTGTTGCACTGGGTGAGGGAAATGGTGGTCACACCAGATACAGACTGTTTTCGGACCCCCCCCGGACCCCCCAATACAGTAAAACTGCACATTTTTGAGTGGCCTTTTATTGTGGCCAGCCTAAGGCACAACTGTGCAATAATCATGCTGTCTAATCAGCATTTTGATATGCCACACCTGTGAGGTGGATGGATTATCTCGGCAAAGGAGAAGTGCTCACTAACACAGATTTAGACAGATTTGTGAACAATATTTGAGAGAAATAGGCCTTTTGTGTACATAGAAAAGGTCTTAGATCTTTGAGTTCAGCTCATGAAAAATGGGGGCAAAAACAAAAGTGTTGCGTTTATAATTTTGTTCAGTGTATATGTATATGGAAGAAAAATAATGCCATATTTCTTTGAAACAAAAAAGCACGTTGAATAGCACTAACTGAAAAAAATAATGCTTTGCATTAACAGTGCTTGCATTTTAATGCCTTTAATATTTCAATACAAAATATTTCACACACATTTTATATAAATTCAATAGTTAAAAATTCCAATAATTCATATTCACCTTCCAGAATTCACTTCCAAAATATTCAATCTGTTTAAAAATACGATGTATAATATTCGACAGGCAAATTTCGGTCCATTTTATTTCACTTTCCAAATTCGCTTCCACAAATTCAGTGGTTAAAATTCGACAGAAAATTAACCATTGCACATCCGGGAGCTGCTGGAATAGCAGTAGAGCACCGATGCATGATCTCCAGCTGCTGTCAGTCGCTCACCAGCAGGTGGCGCAAGCGGCTGTTGATGAAGACCAAAGCAACAGGTGGATTAAGAGAAGTTTTGATTATCGGGGACAATATAAACATGTGGAAAAGCTGATTGTGTGTATGTTTAATTCAACATCTTTGCCGTTTCCCGTAGCCTACATGTAAGCAGCTTTCTCTACCACATAGAAGATTATAAGGCTATTTTATCCAACGCTGATGAACAGAACTAACATTACATCTGAGGAAGACATATATTGCTTTCGGTTGCTTAGTTTCCTTTACTTGTATCATGACTTGTGACACACTGTGCTGTAATACTGGGGTTACCCCTCATACATCACACTCCAGGATTCCTAAACGACGCGTAACGCTCCTCAGTGAACTAGAAGACCTCAGATCTCAGAATACACTTTATTGATGATTATGCAAACTATATACAGGCAAACAAATGAGGTCAGAAGAACGCAATGCGCTGCATTTTCTTTATAATTTCTTTCCCTTACCACCGATCTATTGAGTCAACAGTTCTACAAACATATCAATACCACGATTAGTTTTAACAATATGCAACCACTTTATATTGACATAAAAATAGCAGTTCAAAACCGCCTATGTGTATTATTGCTGCAAATTTAAACCGGAGAAAGCACTGACATGCTATCGCACACAAGGGACCGTCTAACAATTCCACTGACTGGTTTAAAACATCCAATGTATTTTAATTAAAATGATTTTTAACATTTCAAATAACACAGTCAAATTGTAAAGCTCGTATTGCTCATAGTGATTTACTACAGGTGAGATTTTGCCAATACCTCCCTTCATATATGTACAGTATACAATTATTTACATATAAAAGATCCCTGGAAAGGGTTTTTTCATGTTCCAACGGTTGTAGAGCGTTGCTAGATACAAGACTAACTTACTACAGGTTAGATTTTGCCAATATCTCCCTTACGGTATGTACAGTACACAAATAACTTTAAAAAAACTACAGTAATTCACCAAGGTTTTTTTCATGTTCCACTGGTTGTAGTACGTTGCTAGTTACAAGACTAACTTCATGTGAAATTTTGCCAATATCTCCCTTACTGTATGCACCATTCACAATTATTTAAAACAAACAAACCAAAAATCTGTAGGACCCCAAAAGGGATTTTTCATGTTCCAATAGTAGTATAAAATATTGATGTACTTTATGTACAATAAGTGAGGTATTAGCAAAATTTCACCTATGTAAGTCAAGTCTAGTCACTAGGAACGTACTACAACCTTTGGAACATAAAAAAAACTATGTGAATTACAGTAATGTCTTAAGAATAATTATATACTGTATATACAATGAGGAAGATATTGGCAAAATTTCAACTGTAGTAAGTCAGTCTGGTCACTAGTAACATACAACATTTGGAATACAACACGAAAAAAAAAACATTTTGGTGAATTACTGTAATATTTTTCTTAAAAAATATTTATGTAGTGTACATACTTGGGGAAAGTATTGTATAAGGCAGTGTTTCCAAACCGGGGTGCCGTCTGTCGAGAGCAGGGGTGCCGTGTAAAAAATAATTTTTTAATATTTTTAAATTGCTAAAATGTTCAAAAAAAGCATCTATTATATAATATCCATTTCTGATGTCGCCAATAATTAGAGATGCACTGAAATTTCGGCTGCCGAAAATTAGCTCACCGCTCAGGTTTCACTTTCACGTGGTGTGACGCTCTGCGTATTATCCCGCTCTATGCGTGTGCGCTCCGCTCAGTCGCTCACGGCCCGTGTGAGTTCTCCACTCATATACCGTTCATGCTCATCGGAACAGCAAAGTCCACTCAAAAACTGAGCCGACGGGAAACATCGATGTAGTACAGTATCGTTTCTGTCTGCAATAGCCTACTGTACTGTAACATGGTGTGGTATATGGGCAACTCTGGTAACACTGCCCTCTCATTCACTGATCTGCTAACCGCTATGTTATGCTCACGTGTTCTGATAATAATAGCTTTCTAGGACTAAACATTATTTGGATAATTGGTAAAAATCTTAACCCTACTGTTAGACCTACCTGAAAATCTAAAAAGCTATTTAATTCGAAGGCCTGTCGTTATTTTTTATTTGTGCTATCATTATTAATTTCTTTATTTGTTCTTATTTATTACTGACTGCTTACTTGTCATTTTTTATTCAATTCAGAGTTTGAAATCAAGCTATCTCGTGCTACTGCAACACAATTACCCCACTGTAAAATTAAAAAAAAACACTGAGTGAGCAAAAATTTGTGAGATAGCTAGTTATAATGGTAATTAAATAATGTTTACATATGTATAAAAGCCTACCTTAAAATCTGTCATATAAATTGGTCTCTTCATTAGAAATCAGCCTACTGATTGCCACCATTGATGGACAATTTTTTTTTATAATATTAAAAATATCTGTATGACATTATATTCTGCAATTCTTCCCTGTTGTACGGAATATCTATAATTTTCAAATTATCATATCGAAATTAGAAATTCATATATTACTAAAAAAAGGTTGGGAAACACTGGTCTAAGGCGAGTTATTGGCAATATATATTTAGTCAGTTTGAGTAAATTATTAATTTACTGTAAACATTAATTTGAATAAATTATTGGACTTTGTTTTGTACTGTGAGGTAAATTTGCAGACGGTCCCTAAAGCAGCCTAGGCGAATATGCAGCGAATATCAAACCTAAAACTACTGCGCTTGGTTTTCTATGGGAGAAAAAATGGGGTTTGTGGGTTGTGGGCTCATATTCTGGGCTCATCTGCTTAAATGTACATAATATACAGTAATATATATTATTAATTAGGTGCTGAATTGAATCATTTATCACTGTCTTGAAGCAATAAACCACGTTAAGTGTTTTCTTTATGGGAAATGGTTATCGTGCAGTTTTGCACTTACGTTCATATCCTCATCTGCCTGTTTGTAGTTTGCATCATCAGTAAGATCTGAGTTTGGTCTTTTAATAGCTGTCGTTGCATTAATGCACTTACTGAGCCGTGAAATGTTTTCTTTAACTGATTTCCTAGGGTAAACAGCGTGAAACCTTGCACGTTAGTTCATATTCTACATCTGCTTAACTGTCGGTATAGTTCGCATCATCAGTAAAACTTTTTCTGAGATCTGAGGTCTTCTAGTTCACTGAGGAGCGTTACGCGTCGTTTAGGAATCCTGGAGTGTGATGTATGAGGGGTAACCCCAGTATTACAGCACAGTGTGTCACAAGTCATGATACAAGTAAAGGAAACTAAGCAACCGAAAGCAATATATGTCTTCCTCAGATGTAATGTTAGTTCTGTTCATCAGCGTTGGATAAAATAGCCTTATAATCTTCTATGTGGTAGAGAAAGCTGCTTACATGTAAGCTACGGGAAATGGCAAAGATGTTGAATTAAACAAACACAATCAGCTTTTCCACGTTTATACTGGCCCCGACAATCAAAACGTCTACTTAGCGCTTGCTCCATTTCTGCAACTCAGTTTTTGTGAATGAATGACTTAATCCACCTGTTGCTTTGGTCTTCATCAACAGCCGCTTGCGCCACCTGCTGGTGAGCGACTGACAGCAGCTGGAGATCATGCATCGGCGCTCTACTGCTATTCCAGCAGCTCCCGGATGTGCAATGGTGAATTTTCTGTCGAATTTTAACCACTGAAAGCCAGCGAATTTGGAAAGTGAAATAAAATGGACCAAAATTTGCTTGTCGAATATTATACATCATATTTTTAAACCGATTGAATATTTTGGAAGTGAATTCTGGAAGGTGAATATGAATTATTGGAATTTTTAATTATGAAATTGTGTGTGAAATATTTTTGATTAAAAAATTCACAGCTTAAATAGACAACTATGTTAAATTTCAGGACCTAAAAATGCAGGCCCTGGAAATACAAGGCATTAAAATGCAAGCACTGTTAATGCAATGCATTATTTTTTCAGTTAGTGCTATTCAACGTGCTTTTTTGTTTCAAAGACATTGGCATTATTTTTTCTTCCATATATGTATATGTATCTTACTGACCCCAAACTTTTGAATGGTAATGGTAAATACAGTTAAACTGAATGTACATTTATTTGTAACAGAGATGCATCTTCTAGGCAAATCTACACAACTACATGAAATGAGCACGAATAAAAACATCAAGGGAGCATTAATTAAATGCAAAAGCAATAGAGTAAATTTTAAAAGGCCAAATCACAATCCAAACACAATAAATTCACTACACAATGTTCATACCGTGCACCATTTTCTCTGTTGAGTGAGGCATTAAAACAGCTAAATAAAGCTGTTATGAGATTAAACTACAGCAAGCAGCATTTATTAGTTTTAAATATTTCCTCAAATAGGGAGAAAAACACACTCTCTCCCTGAAGGTTCAATGTCATACCATTATTTCCAGCTCTCACCTCAATGGGGTATTCATCCTCCATGGGGCAGTTGAGATGGTTTCCAAGGTGCTCATCTCCTTCCTCTTGCTCAGGTGAGTCAGACGGCTCTGGAGGAGGGGGCGAATGCGGTCGAGTTCGAGGGGAGGCGCCCCCTGCACTGGCCTGGTCCCGTTCGACCAGGAGGGTGATGGTGGGGGAGGTGCCAGTAAGCAGCGCTACTGCCTGGTCATGTCTGGCCTCTGTCATGTCTACACCATTGATCTGGAGCGATAGCCAAACACCAGAGGATCAGAGAGGGCCAATATGCCCACAACGGGCATATGAAAACCCCTTATGCGGAGCTTGTTACGTCTTAAATTACTCTTTAATTACTATATGCAGCATTTCATTTAGCTGGGTTTTTAAAAAAAACGTTAGAGTCCAGGTGTTAGTTGAGTGAAATATGTTCCTGTACAGGACTGATCTGGATCATCATGTGAGTGACAGCCAATGTGGAGCCCTCTCATGCATTCAAAGAGAAAGTGATTTCCACTTCACCTACATATACTTGGTTTTGAAAACCTGGGTTCTCAGTGAAAAATCATGCATCAAATCAAAACGTTGAGACACATTTGACCAGGGAAGTGAAAAGAGAAGGCAATGTGCAATAGTAGAAAGAGGAAATGCTGGAGATGCTTTAGGTAGCAAGATCACGTATTGTGTTAGAGAAAGTATAAAAAGAGCAGCTTCAAGAAAACCGTGACCAAACTCTACTACAGCTTGTCATATTTCAATGTATTCTAGATATATCTCATATACTTTGATTAGAGGACCTTGCATTCACAAAATGTGAGCTTAGTCCAGGACAAATTACAGTTATAATGGTAACATGCACTTTAAAAGTTCGATTACAGCTGTACTAAAGCAATAAAACACCTTTTAAAAATGCCATGTAAACACTTTAGTCTCACTGAAATAGTATCAGTCTGTTTTTTGGTAAGGCAGACTAACAGATCTGTATGTGATTGTAACATGGCTTTGTCCAGCAAACTACAAAAGGCCTCGGGATTGAGCTGACAATCCTTCAAATATTCGATTATGCATCATGTCATCTATACCTGGACAGATAGATATTGTAACCTGACTACATTTATTTATTTTTTTATATTTTTAGCAGACGCTTTTATCCAAAGCGACTTACAAATAAGGACAATAAAAGCAGTCAAAACTAACAAAAGAGCAACAATATATAAGTGCAAATGACAAGTCTCGGTTAGCCTAACGCAGTACACGTAGCAAGGTGTATATATATATATATATATATTACACACACATACACATATACACACACACAAAGATTCATCACATTACTACCCTTTAACGATGGGTCTTTAAATACTACCCTTTAATTATGATCTGGCTCATGTCTTGACACCACATGCTGTGTTGAAACTGTGGCCTAATGCTGCTGCATTTTTGTGCATTTTCACAAAGACTGTACAATATTTGAGATTCTCTTTGTAAAGCCAAGGGATGTGGCCTAACCTGTCCTGCTTTCCATGTGAGGGAAGACTATTCTTGATTTCTGGTTACTTTGTTTAGCAGTAAGAAGTTCCACCATGGTGACAAACAGAGGTCAGCACTGACCATTCAGTACCGGCGCTTACCACAGGGTGACAGAACGGCAGCTGCTACATGCAGTTACCATGACAGCAGGCCCACAGAACAAGTCAAAAACCTCCCATCACCACACCCGACACCAAGCAGGCAAGAAGTGTGTTAGTGAAAACCCATGCAAGGAGAGAGGACAAAATCTCGAAATAAAGAGAGGGCTCAAGGGAGACAAAACAGTTGGGATTATAATTGTTATAATGCTGAGTCGCAATACGGGCAAGGTTACTAGGAGAGAAGTTCACAATTACACACTGACATCATTTCATTGTGTAAAGCAGAAAGGTTATGGTGTACAGCACAGTAAAACAGCAGAAGACTGTGCTAAAACTAACTCTGACTAACTCACCCATGCAGTGAGGCGGATAATAATGGCTTATTATTATTTTTATGTTTCTCACAATGTAAAGTGAATTTATTTCGATCTAATACCCAGGAACAAAAAATCTATTATATAGCTGCACAGCTGACCCACAAATTTAGATGTTGTCATTTACTCACACCCAAACCCAAACCTGTTTGACTTTATTTTGTAAGGCACAACATGAGACTATTTTCTTCTGTATAATGAAAGAGAATGGTGACTTTCAAGCTTCAAAAGGGACAGTATGTGTGCTACATTTTAAAACCATACAATAGCTTTGTGTGAAGAACTGACTGAAATCAAGTCATATTCCTGCTCATATACAGATCTAGTGCATCACAATTAGTTATGAGAACCAAACCCTATGATATTTGGCATCACTGAGATTAAAAGACATGGCATGACTTCTTAATGTGCAACATTTTAATATACGGGAACATGAATGAGATTTGAAAACTATGTAAATGAGTCTCTCTCTTGCAAAACTATCATATGGTTTTAGAAGATTTAGAATTCTGCCCATGATTGTATGGATTACTTTCATGGCACTGTTTGGCATTGTGGAGCTTGACAGACCCTGGTAACTATTCATGTTTTGTATGGAAAACAAGCGTCAAAAATGTGCGAAGTGCATTCCAAGGAACAAATTCTGACAGGTTTTTTTAAATGGCATGAAGTTGAGTAAATAATAACATTTACTATTTTTTGAGTGAACTATCCTTTAAAAACTAAATTAAACTGATAAGCTACATTAACTAGAAAGAGAGACGGATGAACTCACTGATATGACCCTGTCTCCCACGTGCAGGATATTGTCTCTGTGAGCAGCTCCTCCTTCAGCAATACGAGAGATGAAGATTCCCTGCGAGACAAGCAGAAAAACACCGCCAATGATAATCTCATCTCAATACAAGTTTTTGAAGGAATTTTCCTATGAACACCAAGGATGCATTTATTTGATCAAAAATACAGTAAAAAGCATGATTGTGAAATATTAATATAAATGTTTTCTAAAATAATACACACAAACAAAATACACAAAGAAACATTCACAAAGAAGTGATTGATTTTTTATAATTTAGAGCTACCGTTCATGGCAATAAACAAATGAAAAATAGAAAAAGTAAATAGTAGATAACTAGGCCATGGTGGAGTTTGGAGTGTGACTGTTTGAGGTTGTGGACAGGTGTCTTTTATACTGATAACGGTATAAACGGTAAAAGTTCAAACAGATGCCATTAATACAGGTAACGAGTGGAGGACAGAGGAGCCTCTTAAAGAAGAAGTTACAGGTCTGTGAGAGCCAGAAATCTTGCTTGTTTGTAGGTGACCAAATACTTATTTTACTGAGGAATTTACCAATTAATTCTTTAAAAATCCTACAATGTGATTTTCTGGATTTTTTTTCTCATTTTGTCTCTCATAGTTGAGGTATACCTATGATGAAAATTACAGGCCTCTCTCATCTTTTTAAGTGGGAGAACTTGCACAATTGGTGGCTGACTAAATACTTTTTTGCCCCACTGTATATAAAACAACAAAAGAAAAAAGCTTTTGAAAGTTTATCCTTGAATAAAAAATATAGAACTAAATCAGGTCTCATTTGATTAACACTCTTTTCATAAGAATCAAAAGAAAAGTAAAGAGTCCTAGGGGAGTTTCACAAAGAATTAAAAACGGGTAATACACTTGTAGTAACACAATGCTAGCATCTCTTGCAGTGCAATATTAGCTGCTGACTTGAGCTGGCTTCAACTGAGTTCAGTGCTCCTGTACAGCTGTTAAAGGGTTAGTTCACCCAAAAATGAAAATTAGCCCATAAATTACTCACCCTCAAGGCATCCTAGGTTTATATGACTTTCTTCTTTCAGACGAATGCAGTCGGAGTTATATTAAAAATTGTATAACGTCGGCATTGCGCATGCGCCGCTCAGAACGCGGAAGCGCAGGGAAGAGATCAAAACAAAACAATGGTCACGGATTAGAAGTACAAACCAAGGATTTGTAAAGAAGAATGTTGGAGGATTTCGAAATATAGGCCAAGTGGAGAATGGTTTTCCTTTGCTAAAGTGAGGAAACTTTGCTTCCTTTGCTCCTGTAACCAAACTTTGGTTTTCACGAGACTCACCGGTGCATGCGTAACGGTGACATTACGTCATCCACCCCGGAGCTGCTTCCGTGTACAACTGTTGGCGCAAGCTAGATTAAAGTGATTATTAAGTTTTGAATATGGATATTTTTCTTACAAAAACGCATCGATTCGCTACAGGAGGACTTTGTTCACCCCCCGGAGCCGTGTGAGGCACTTTTTTTAATGGATGGATGCGCTTTATTTAACTTATTCTGGACTGATGAATTGCAACACCCGCTGACTGCCATTAAACAGCTTGGAAGATCAAAGTAAATTTTTAATATAACTCCGATTGGATTCATCTGAAAGGAGGAAGTCATATACGCCTAGGATGGCTTGAGGGTGAGTAAATAATGGACTAATTTTCATTTTTGGGTGAACTATCCCTAGAGCTAGCCAGTATGCTGGAGTAACATGCTGCAATGCCTCAAGCCTCTAGAGCAGAAATGATCCTGCTGACCTTAGCTTAAAATTACCTGCCTCGCTTTTAGTGGTTTATTATATGGGCTAATTTACAACTCTAAAGATGTAACAGCCCATGTAGTATTAAAAGAACAAACTATTGACGACCTTCAGGGCCACTTAATTCTTCAAAGACAAATCTCAACAGTTTAACAGATACACAGTCTGCAAACAGCCTTTGTCAGCACTTTCACAGTATGTTCTCTGAAATTGTGATCAGAACGTTTCATGCTGAAGACTCAAAGCAGCAAACAGACCAGCAGACAAGTCAGTGAGATCTACTTGTTAGTAAAAACAAGCACAAATGCCAAGCAGAAGGACAAAAACAGGACTTACAATTACTCAGCATAGAGTGTGTGCATGTGCTAATGTGTGACTGTGTCTCCTTCGTGAAAGTGGTGCAAAAATGTGGCCATGTCAGAAAGATAGAGGGCAGTATGATGTGTCTGCAGCGGAGATCCAAAAATACTTCATCCCCTGCTATCCGATAATCTACTGGCTCTATCAGGTGTCAGTCCCTGTAATTCTAATCATTGCCATCTCTGGCAGCCATCCTAGAGGTGCTGAGAAGCATCATGCAGAAGCTTACGCAGTCCATACGCTTCTGCTAAACATGTTAAACATACGGAGAGAACGGATGACATGTCCTGACTTCCGTAAACCACACTGCACAACCTGACACTGAAGCAATGAACACACCATAAAATATTCACTACAAGGTCACTGCAGTCACCCGGATCCAGTACGTATCCAGCCCAGATGGTGGATCAACACCTAGAGATGACCTCAAAAGCCCTGAATGTCAGCGGAGACCAGGACAACTAGGTGAGCCCCAGAGACAGATCCTCAGTGAAGACTCTCCTGGATGGCCATCGGGACAAGACCACAGGAACCAGTCGAGTCCTCTGCACAATGTGTCTTTGCTGCAGCATGGAACAACCTGCTGGTTCGTCTGGCTAGAGGAGAACTGGCCCCCTGACTGAGCCTGGTTTCTCCCAAGGTTTTTTCTCCATTCTGTCACCGATGGGAGTTTTGGTTGCTTGTCGCTGTCGCCTCTGGCTTGCTTAGTTGGGGACACTTCATTTCCAGCGATATCATTGACTTGATTGCACAGATACTATTTAAACTGAACTGAGCTGGACGATGACATCACTGAATTCAATAATGAACTGCCTTTAACTGAAAATTTAGTGTTTACTATTGTCCTTTTGCATTATTGACACACTATTTTCCTATTCAATGCTGTAAAGTTGCTTTGACACAATCTGTATTGTTAAAAGCACTATATAAAAATAAAGGTGACTTGACAAGGCAAGTCACGAGTGTATATGCAATAGCGTCTTCTGTTTACCGTGTCTCCTACTCGGTACGGGGTTGACCCTTTCCCTCCAGCAATGCTGAACCCTAAACCTTTATCGTTGCGGACCAGAGAAGTGGCTAGTCGCAGTGTCGGTCCAGCGCTGACAGCCGGAGAGGCAGGGTCTAGGAGGAAAGGCAGCCCACTGGACCGTCTCTCCCGGGGGAAATAATCATCTTCTGGTCTCAGTGGAGTGGTGGTGATGGCGTTCTCTGGTTCAACCATGCGTTCTCGCAGAGCGGTCATAACCACGGCCGTCCCTGAATTGCGCAGGGCCTCGACAGCTGTGTGATGTTCCGCTCCGTGCAGGTCTACTCCGTTCACCTGAGAACAGACGAATACAATGATTGAGGATTTAAAGCAGCGTGAATGACTGGTTCTGAAAGGGGGAACTCAAAAGAGAAAATGAAAACAGATGTTCACCTCAAGAAGTTTGTCTCCCACTTTGACCCCAGCACGAGCTGCAGGGCCCTCTTCTGACACTCTAGAGATGAAAATACCCTGAAAAGGACATATAAAGTACATTAAAACAAACCACACACACACACAAGCATTTACTGAAACTCATCTATTGTGTGAAAGCTCATTGAAATGTACCTCATCATCGCCCTTAAAGGGCGTAGATCCTTTCCCCCCTGCTATGCTGATGCCTAACCCACCGGTCTGCCTCAGGATAGTCAGGGTCAGCTACAGATGAAGCAGAGAGATCAGAAATTCACAGACAAATGCAGAATGAAATACTTCAAAACATTTGCTATAACATGCGTGGCTTGACTCACAAAAAACAAACAAAAAAGTTTTCATGCAATGCATGCTTGTTTAGAAAGTATTTCTAATATGAATGACTGCATCTTTGTTCAGACAGATCAAATATATTGTCCCAACCAGCCTTCTTTCCTTGATGTACACAATGCTTTCATTTACATACATTAAAAAATTTGCTCTAATTTATGGATTATTGGACAAGCTTTTCATATTCAGACATGCATTTAAAAACCAAGCTGAAACATAACACAGAAGCCCAACACCTCTGTTGATAAGATGAGCCCTTGATATTTGCAAGCTGGATCAGCCTGACTGCTTTTGTCTATTTATTGAAGCAGTTTGGGAACGTGACAGAATAAGTGGTTTACCCACATCTTTTCAATCTTTGGAGTGAAAAATTCAACACTACAGGATTATAAAAAGTACTGGTGTGAATTGTACATGATGCACACAGTTAAGGCAGGATTCAAGAATACGCCAGACGACTACGATTTTGTAAATGGTTACAGAGAAAAACTGGGCATCATAGACTTAACTGGAAAAAGTCTGTGCCCACCAAATTTTATGCAGTTTTAAAATCTGCACACTGGCTCTGACTTTTTGCAGCTACAATTGACTTGCCCAGACTGTAAATCAGGGCAAATATAGAAAAATCTAGGCAAACGTAGTGTAGTGTATTCCAGCCTTTACTCACACTGGACAGTTTGTATGTACAGACACCATAAAGTTTATCCAAAATGTACGTTGATCTGTTCTATACAGAAAGTTTGTTTACATGCACATCTTTTATGTTCATGTTCAACAGGTCACGTAGGTCTGTTGTGCATGTAAGGAATCAATGAATCGCAAGTAGACAATTTCATTATGAGACTAATGTGATGAATGAGATGGGCCAGTAAGATTTTGTTTGAATGTTTTTGGATTCTGTGCTCAAAAGAACAGCATCTATTTGAATTGGTAACTTTACTGTCACTTTTTGAGTTTAATGCATCCTCACTGAAGTCTTACTGACTTCAAACTATAGTGTATATAAAATTATTAACACCAAGAACAAAGTTGCTCCAAGAATCAGCGAAAGACATTTAATCAAGTCAAATTCAACTACTTTAACAGTATATTTAATACTTTTCATATATAACATTATACATTTTATCAAATAGTCAAAAGTCTGAAAAATCAAGGAGAGGAGGTCAGCATTGCTGGGACAGGACACCAAGGATCTGTTTGATTAATGCAGACTGTATAAAGAACACATGCTCAAGTTTGAACATCACCTGCCTCAAAACTTGCATTGATTCAAGTTTTGCAGATTAATGGCAAAAGACTCCACATCTAGTTCAATGCTACTGAACATTGTACTGTAACACATTCATGGCCTAAAAAAAGGAGGCTGAAGCCAATTCAATTCATAGTTATTTGTTCTTTTTTTAAAATAATGAAATCATGAGAAAACAGAAACATTTAAAAAAAAAATTATATCAACAGTTCAACTGAAGAAAATTTAATCTTAAACCATTTTACATTTGTATTGACTGATTAAGTGATGGCACTCGTCACCAAAGTCACACCGTGACATACCCAATATTCACAAAATGAATGGGAGGGTGGTGAACGTTTTTGTGGGATGGACTAGATGTGGTTGATTCTACAGCAGCAGCCATGCAAAGTGGGCATAGTGAGTGGGTAGATGGGAAAAAAACAAAACTCAAGTGAAGAAGAGAGAACAATGTTCTTGGACAATGAAATCTTTAGAGACGTACAGCCCTTTGTGTGACTAATATAAATAAATGCTCAGCTTCAGGCATATTAATTAAAAGTGGAAAGCAATTATCTTATTTGGTCTAATGCTATGGCTGATGGTCACTTATCTCACATTGGCACTGGGTCAGGAATTACTAAAAAAATAGTACTATCCATTCATTAAAATACAAACATTTCTAAAAATGTATGACATGGATTAGTGTATTCAAATGGTTGAAAATGACTGACCTATCACATTATTGTGATATATCAGAGAGGGTATCAACACTATGTTGAAATTAGTTGCATGACTGACAATATGGTAGCAGTATTTACATATTTTTATACTGCACTTTGAAAAAGAAACAAACAATAATTTGGTGGGTTTTGGAGAAAAAGTAAATCTGGTTTACGAGCAATTATACAATGACTGATTTTAGGGGAACACGGAACATCAGTCATACGAATGGCATATATTTTACATGGCAAGTAACAAATGTAAATTATTTAATTACGGAACTATAAACAACTACTTTAGTGGGTATTGTTCATTTCAATCAGACAAAACAGACACTTGTAATATGATGCAGCCAAAAATAATAAAAGTTTCCACTAGCTCATGTGCTAGCATATGTGCTCCTTGCTCCTAGGTGGCAGAACCTGACAGAGGGGTAGGCGGTGGAAAAGAGGGAAGAAAAGAAAAACAAGAAAACGATAGAAAAACAGGTGGCAGACAGTAATAGAACCTAGTTTGGAGAATAACATGGTAATGGAAGCACAATGTTTCTTTAAAACTTAAGGGCAATTATTAAGATGAAAAATATAGTTTATGACATGCTTTCGATAACCACTGAAAATGCCTTTGTCCATAGACTTACATTGTAACTTCATTACTGCAAAAGCGTAACTTTATTTATTTTTTTATTTTTTTAAGTACTCAACCCAGAATATTCTTATTCTAACAGCTGCACCATGACCATATTCTTCTCCAAACACTAAGATCTATTACAGCTGTGACTTATAAGTAAATGTTAGTCAGCAATTTCCCTAAGCATCCGGTGTGGATTAATGAAAGAATTTTGTGGTGGGTCATGATTCCCTGAACTGCAGGTGAACAATGAGTGAGTAAATGAATGAATGATCAAAAGAGGGAGAGAGCGAGGAAGAGAGCGGGAGTTTGGGCGGAAAGAGAGTAGGTACAGACCTCTTCCTCCTCAATTCGAGCAGGCTCAATCAGCAGATTATTGACTTGATCAAATGACACCCCCTGTTAGGACAGGAACCAGCAAGAGGGCATGCAGATTAGTCAGGCCAAAAAAAAAACAGAAGCTGTATGACTGGAAATTAAAATAAATGGAACAAACATTCACACAGGTGACTGAATGACAGGCACACCTCCAAACACACACCCACAGTAAGAGAGGGCGCTTCCAAAACCACCACATATACAGCAAACAACACTGACCTACACACTTAAAGAGCTTTAAAACAACATAGCACAGCTCAGATCTCAGACTGCATTCAGCAAGCAGATTCAGTTCATGAAATAAAACGGCTATTATCTGGAAAAGCTTGCTATTCATACAGAATCTGTACAAAAACATAATATTGCAATTCTGAAAAAAAGTTATTTTACAGTCACGTCACACTTTACAAAGGAAGTCTAAAATGTTTCGAAATTTTAGCAATTTAAAAAGACTTGACAGGAAAATCAAAAACCAACTGTCTGGATTAAGCAACCCAAGTTACAGGTTGTCAATATTAACCCCAGACAAATCACTAGGGTGTCAACGCTATAAAACACAGATATAAAGCAATTACCAACATCCACACAAATGTCAATATTCACAAAGGAACAGCAATTTACTTTTTTTTTTTTCAAACTGAAAACATGCACACACAAGTCCTGCACAAGCATTCCTGACCACGTTCAAAATATTTTAAACCAGATATATATAAATCTTGGCTTCAAAGATTAATTTTAAATATGTATAGCTGAATTAAATCATATTTAAGAATTAAATGAATAATTGCAAAGCATTATGTTGCATGTTTGTAGGAAATAAATTCTCACTCTCAGTGGTTGTTACAGTTTTTACATATTTGCTACCTGTAAAACCCCTAAAGGGTTTTACGCAATCTTTCTGGTTAAAGTATGCATTTTAAAGACCAATGAGAGTCCTCATATTTCTACACAATAAAAATTATAGAAAGAAAAAAAACAAAAACAGTGGAATTTTTCATTGATGTGAAGTTCAGGTATAATTTAAAATGATCAGCACACAGACAGTTGTGGAAAAGGTGGGCAAAGAGGGCAGTGTGCACGGATTTCCCCAGGCAACAGAGACAGCAAATGATGATGAGAAGCAAGAGCAGTGCTCAATGGGGTGGAGTTAAGCTGTGGAGGAGGAGCTAAACATAGCCAAAGGGTGGGGCAAAACAAGGAGAAGCTTTTTCATTTGAGGTTCTGTCCTTTTAATCAGACCAAAGGCAGAGGTCTTATCCATGGATATACTTTGCATGCTGCCAATATTCATTCCAATGACACGATGGCTCTGATACAATGAATGAAGCTGAATGAACAAATATTGTCACAGAGGGGTCTAAAAGTGTGAGACAACAAACTAAAACAAAAGTGAGATGAACCAAAAGACATTCTGAAATTTTCTGTACAGTACGGTTCAAAAGGTCAGAGGTCAGTAAGAATTAATGTGTCTTTTGATCAAAAGAGACAGGAGAGACTGGTAGAATGATTTCTGAAAGATCATGTGACACTGAAGATTGGAGTAACGGCTGCTGAAAATTCAGATTTGCCATCACGGGAATAAATTATGTTTTTTAAAAAAATTTAATTTACAATTTAAAATTGTTATTTGAAATTGCAATAACATTTCACAAAAATCCTGTTTTTACTGTGTTTTTGCTCAAATAAATGCAGCCTCTGTGAGCCTAAGAGACGTCTACTAATCTCAAACTTTTGAACAGTATTATAACTCAAATTTTCTGCTGATAATACAATTTTGCATTTAAAGGGGTCATATGATGCTTTTTTAAAGATCATTATTTTGTGTATTTGGTGTAACAGAATATGTTGACATGCTTTAATGTTCAAAAAACACATTATTTTTCAAATACGGTACATTATTGTAGGTCCTCTATGCCCCGCCTCTCTCAAACGCTTAGTTTTCTACAAAGTCCCTCCTTCCGACAAGCGCAGTCTGCTCTGATTGGCCAGCTGACCCAGTGCATTGTGATTGGCCGAACACCGCAAGCACTCGTCGGAAATGTAACGCCTCTTACCATAATCACGAGCTTCATCTTTCAATATAAATGTAAAGACAGAGCCCGAAAGGGGAACAGAGTCGCGTGAAAGACATGAAGCTGGTATGTGTTTGCAGTACACAAGCCACGGTTAAGACAGCTGACTCCACTGTGATGTGACCCCCTCTTTCGCCTAGAAACACACACCATCTTGCTGACATGGCTGCTTCAACACTAACTGCGGTTACTGAAACCACGTCTTCTTTCTTTGCGTGAACATTTGGGTGGCATTACGCAAATATTTCCACATAGTGAGGTAGATATGTGGGGGCGTGTTAGAACGAGCCGTTTTAGGGGGGCGTGGCAGAGTCTTAAATTTGATAAAGAATACCTCTTTGGTTTTGAGACTTTAGTCTTTGCAACTTCAGGGATCTTATCTATGCACAATCAGCTTGTAACACTCCAAAGAGAAAGGAAAACTTGAAATCGCATCATATGACCCCTTTAAAAATTTGTATTAAATTTAAAAAATGTAAAACGGACAGATTTACACTAGGGGTCTCAAACTTTTAGCACTGTATTTTGTATATCTTAGACTGAATAAATTCCGCACTCTGCACTAAGATGTGTGAACATTATTATTAAATAACTCCACTTAAACCCTCAGACAATATAAACTAATTTCACCAACTTTCAATTAAGTAACCCGGATTTCCCACACCATTGCTTCTAGAAGTGAGCCCTTCTTACCTTCACTGGCTGCAGGGATGAGTTCATCTGACTCAGCCTGCTGTCTTCTAGCTCAGCTGCTTCTAGTCTTTGTTGAAAAGGGGTATTGACTATTACTCCTCCCTCGTCCTGCTCGTCTTCCTCCTCCTCACCATCCCTCTCATCCTCAGGGGTGTGAGCAGTAGGTGAGAGGCCGTCATGACTGAAGCCTTGCAGCAGGGCGGCGACAGTCTCTGGTTTGGGCAGCTTGGTGATTTTGAAGTGCTTTTTGTAGTGTGGTGTGTCTTTACGTATGAGCCGCTGTTTCTCTGCAGGAAAAGGCGGCGTTCGAGAGTCCTCATCACTCCTTTCAGCGTCTTCATCTTCTTCATTTTCATCTTCTTCCTCCTCATCATCGCCACGGATGATGGGCTCTTCAGCAAAGTGCACAGTAGGCTGCGAAGGCAAGAAAAAGTTTCCTGGATTACCAATGCAGTGACAGAATCATTATGATTCAGAATCAAGGAAAAAACAGAAGGACTTTGTGAAACAAATTGCAACATACTCACACAAACCAAAACATTATCTTTACAGTAGCTTGCACTTGTACAATAGAGGTCACAGTTACATTCAGGATGTGCTGAACATACTTCATACATACCTCAGTATACTCCACCTCCATCTCATCCAGCTCCTCCTCTTCTTGACCCTGACCATCATTAATCTCCACCCCTGTACTGTTTACACCCCGCTTCTCATCCTGAGAAGTGGCAGAGGCGGTGCTACTGGATGCCTGAGAACCATGACTTTGATTGGACAGCCCACTCAACCGTTTCTGCTGTGAAAAACCATTATACATAATCAATGAAAAAAAAAAAACTGAGCAGTTCGTATCTAATATTTAAATAATAATAATATTAAAAAAACAGTTTGTATGTAAAATAAAAAAAATTATGTACTGACATAATATTTAAATGGTAAAATATTTTAAATAATAAATAAATAATAAAATGAATACAATTATATATATATATATATTTCTTGAGAAAATATATTTCTCAAGCCAACATAATCATAGCAGTCCAAGACCATTGTCTTATATGAATATCTTTTCAAATATAACATGGTTTTTATAACAAAGCCCATCTTACTCAATTTATGTGAACAGCAATATATTTATTCATGCCTGGAATCTTGATAGTTTTCCTTGTAAACTAATTGCATAAAATTACTGTATTTAATAAGTTGCACATGAATATAATTTGCATTATTTATAAACATTATAAACACATTTTAGTTCCCCACACTCCACAAAGAAATTCTTTAAATGTAACAGTATAGAGAACAATAATGAAAAATAAGTATAAAAAAACAAACGGCATTGTCATTCATAATAAAGAAGTCATGGCACATTTTAGATGATAAAAAGATTACATATTTAGCAAAATATGGTATACTATCAGTGCACCATAGTTCTACAAATAAACTGATTCTGTGCATTTATTTCCATTCAAATTGATGGAAACTAATAGAAGCACTTTTGGACGACCCCCCCCCAAAAAAAAAACCCCACAAGAAAAACAAAAAATAGAACAAAACAATTGTGCCTTTGTCTGAATTTACCTCAGAGTCCGGGGACTCCAGATCCTCATCTGGCTTGGCTGTATAAGCATCATTTCTTCTGGCTTCAATGACATTCTTCATTACCTTCAACTCACTGGGATGTGGTGTGGCTCTCCTCTGAAGACCCTGCTGGTTCACATATACAGCAAGGGTGTTAGCACATGTACACAATTTCATGTAAACAGTTGTCCAGAAATCATAAACATCCTGTACACATTTCCACGCTCACCCTCTTCTCTGCAGCAGTCTCCTCATCTTCCTCTTCGTGTTTGGAGTCATCCTGGAACTGAATGACCGATACTCTGTTCAAATTAGTGTCTGTGGGCCAGGTTTCATCAACGCTCCTGTCCAGTAGATTCTCTGCAAAGCATATTACAAAATTTTGCAATTTGATGAGTGTCCTGGATTCACTATGGGTGTAGTCTTAGCCTCGGACAGCAGGTCAGCATGGGCACAAACCAGCCACAGTCCTCTTCGTAGTGACTTTAAATTAGGGCTGCACGATTAATCGAATGCAATTGTCATGCACATCTTGTCAGTAAAGCCGGTTCTGTGATTAGTAGTAAATCTCCATCACCTGCTTTCAGATGGAACAACATTTACTACACAGAGCCAGATTAGCATTGCATTATAGATATACTTTAATATAATGAAAATTATAATAATAAGAACTCCGATAAACCATATATTGCCATAGTCGTGTGTTTATTAGTCACGTTGAATCAACGAAAGCATTTCAATCTTCTGTTTATTCAGCAACCGCCGGGTTTCTTCTGTGAGGTGTATTTGGAGTTTCTGCGTGAGAGCGCCCTCTGACCTTCGGATGGAGATTTACTGCTGATAACAGAACCATGCTTCACTGACAAGATACACATGACAATAGCAGCTTCGGTCTAATCGCGATTTTGATTTCATTTCGATTTATCGTGCAGCCCTACTTTAAATGAACTTTTTCAAACAAAAAGGACTACCACAGCATGATTTTATTGAATTTTTCAGTCAAATGGTCTGTTCCTGACTAAATTAGCAGCATAAGTCATAAATAGTTAGAATAATCTGCAAAGTGGGGTAGACATTTAACCATTTAGTCAAAAGTCTGGTCAAATATATGCAAAGATGCAAAGCCTCTTTGGGTGTAACTTGACAGCTCCATTCACAAGGACGGCGGAGTGTCTTACCAAGGCTCGATGAGGGTTGCTGAGGCAGCAGGTAGCAGGTGAGAACTTTTTCCCCAGTCTGTTCGTCGTCCTCTGTCTGGAACTTAAGCATGGGCTGAGACTGGTTCTCTGCCAGCCACATGGCCTTCAGGTTCAGATTGGCCAATGCGAACGGTAAATTCTGCAACCTGGGACAGAGAGCAAGAGATGGAGAAACTTCAGTGCATGAAACAAACAGCTGGTAGCAATTCTTATGGTCACTCTGACATCCAAAACCTGTGATATAGAGAATGCATTTTCACCTGTTGCCTGCCACGTCCAGCACATGTAATTCTGTTGCATTGGCCAGCTCAGCGGGTAGTTTTCCCAAACGGTTATCTCTGAGGGAGAGCACGTTCAGGCTGACACATCCTCCCAGTTCTGCTGGCACGCTGCTCAAGCAGTTTCGGTCCACATTCAAGTTAGTCAACTTCTTCAGCTTCCCAAGTGAGCGAGGGAGGGACTGAAAGAGAAAGTTTTCATAATGGGCTCTGCTCTGACACGTCTGAAATTTGGTAATGCAGTCCTGCTAATATTGTTACGATTAGTTTTGATTACTCATTTATAAGTTATTTCAGATGAAAGCATCCTTTAAACAAACAAAGGCAATGTAAATGAATTCCAATCTATAGCTGATTTGTTTACATATCATTCCCACTATTGTACGATAAAAAAAAAAAACTGTGGCATATACAGCAAAATAATATGGAAGCATTACATATAATATAACCTGATGCTCCAAAACCAGTGTCATAGAATTAAAGAAAGTGTAGTAAGCAAATAGAGGCAGACATAACAGATATCAGGTGGTGCAGGTTGTGTACCTGGAGAAGGTTCTCAGTCAACATAAGCTCTGTCAGGTTCTCACACTCGCCAATAGAGTCTGTGAGATGCACTAAGCGGTTCTGGTTCACTTTCAGAATGAGGGTTGGAGCTGAACTCTGCAGGACTGCGGCTCTCTAGGACCGAACTTGCCTACCCCTGCAATCAATTTAAAACATTTCTCAACTCATCTTTAAACATCGACTATGATCATAACAGTTAAAAAAGTTTTACATTATTAAAGGTGTATCTTATTGTCCTGAAAGAAACTAAATATTTTAAAGGTGACATATCATGAAAATCTGACTTTTCCAGGTTTTAAGTGCTATAATCAGGTCCCTGGTGCATCTACCAACCAAGGAAAGGTGAAAAAGATTAACCCAGTAACTTTGTTTTGGGAAGCCTTTTTCTGCAAGTGTCTGAAAAAACGAGCGCGTCTGATTTCGCTCCCTTGGTGACGTGGTAAAGGGATCTCATAATATTACCACCCCTTAATCTATAAGTTTACACCCACGGCGCCGTCATTTGATTTCGCAAGCCACAACGGTGTACCAGTTCTAATGCCATGGTGTAGTTTAGTACTCACATGCTGTGACAGCCGCTGTGTGCCGGATGTGTGTACTCAGAAAACCGTATGTTAGAAGTTTAAACTAATATGGTTTAAAACGCATGATTTCAGCACGATAAACATGATAATCAGAACCAAAACAGATGTTTTTAGCAGGTCCTAGCTGTAAAGGCTCAGCTCTATTCTGGAAAAGGGGGCAGGGAGCAGCAGCTCATTTGCATTTAAAGAGACAGGTATGAAAAACAGCGTGTTTCTGCTTCCACTCAAAATAGGCCTTTTCAAAATGATATAATACATTATCTGTGGGGTATTTTGAGCAGAAACTTCACAGACACATTCTGGGGATACCAGAGACTTATATTACATATTGTAAAAAAGGGCATAATATGTCTCCTTTAACATTTTTATTGTAACCTGATTGGAACTTTGACACCAGATGATTCAAAATCTCCCTCTGGCTAATCATAAGACTCAAGTCACATGTGTAACTAAATGCCTACACCCTGTGAGCAAATAAGGTATCAGACTTGAATGAAAGTGTGACCATTTTGTTTGTCACCTTACAGGTGCTGACTGATTTTAGACTGGGCAGCACTTAGTTTTCAGTAAGATGATTCAGAGTTTATGGTGAAGGCAGGACATGTTTATTTTAACAGCCATGTCTCTGTACAAAAAGCAGGAACAATCTCATATATATTGATGTTTGTAAGAGGGATATAGAGTTTCACCAATGCTGTCCGGCAAGACTTCCAGGAGGTTCTCAGAGAGCAGCAGGTCTGTGAGGGCGATAAGGCCACTGATCTCTGTGGGAAGCTCTGATAGACGGTTCTCTGACACGTCCAAGCAAACCAGCTGCCGCAGGTTCCCCAGCTCCTGTTAAACACAGAGGTTATCTTTCAGTCAGACGAAAGTGAATTAAGGCACTCTAGTTTCCAATTCAGTTATCACCAGAACAAGCACATGGCACATGCATTCAGCTGTGCTGAGGGTAAACAATGTCTGAAAAGGACAACATCTGCATGAATTTGAACCTTTATCTGAACTAGATATTTGAAACCATCAAGACAGATGACCAGTATGATAATGAGCCAATCAGAAGCTGTCTGTACTCACCGGAGGTAGTGAGGAGAGCTGGTTTCTGTCCAACCAAAGCTCACGAAGATTGGGCAGTGCCCCAAGTGTGTCAGGCTGAACGGAAGAAATAAAAAGAAAGCAGATTAAAGGATATGAGGCAATGAAACGAGGCAAACAATAATTTACAAAAAATAATTTAATGATAAAGTAATTGGCAGGCACTCAGGTTCAGCAAAGGAAATGATAATCAGAGATCCACTGGGGCAAACAAAAATAACAAGCTCTAAATAAACCTGAAAACATGGCATGCATGTGTGTGCATGGTTTCATAACTAAAACATCTAAATTATTCTCAAGACCAAACAAAACTATCCGCTTCTTACCAAAACTTCCAGTACATTGCTGCCCAGATCCAGCTGTTCCAGTTTAACCAGGAAGGAAAGAGAGCTAGAGGATGATCGAGACAGGTTTCACATTTAACGTTATTTTTATCAATTGTTTTTGGGTGTAAATTCAGAGCATGAACACTGTGGTAGAGCTGCACGATTCTGGATAATTTGGGAATCACAATTTTTTTTTGTCTCAAATAGAGATCACGATTCCCCCACGATTCTGAACTAAACAAAATAATGTGTGGCAAAATATTATTGCTGCAGTCTATTTAAAAGTGTTTAATTAATTTGAATGAATTATTAAACATTTTAATATACACTACCAGTCAAAAGATTTGGAACAGTAAGATTTTTTATGTTTTTTAAAGAATTCTCTTCTGCTCATGAAGCCTGCATTTATTTGATCCAAAATACAGCAAAAACAGTAATACTGTGAAATATTTTTACTATTTAAACTAACTGCTTTCTATTTGAATATATTTTAAAATGTAATTTATTTCTGTGATCAAAGCTGAATTTTCAGCATCATTACTCCAGTCTTCAGTGTCACATGATCCTTCAGAAATCATTCTAATATGCTGATTTGCTGTTCAAGAAACCTTTTATTATTATTATTATTATTATTATTATATGTTGTGTTTATGTGGATGTATTTATATGTGTGACAAACAGAATGGGCAGTAAAGTAAAGTAAATGAATTTGTTTTTATTTATTTATTCTTCATTTCTTTTAGTATTCATTGGAATTTCATTGGTATTGTTTATTAAAGAGTTCCATTACTTTTACCATCATATTTTGTAGCATTAAGGAATTGATATTTTGTGCAAATACAGTACAGTATACTTTTTCTCTTCTAGACTTAAAAAGGAATATGAATTTGTCTTTTATACTGTTCACTATAACGGTATAATGCTTAGGTATTTTTGTTTTTTTCTTTTTACAAAGTAGATTTATAAAATCAGCCATTTATCAGTTATCAGTCATAACATGCTCATCCTCAGCAGTCCTCACTGAGGGAAAATGCCCATAATTTGACTAAATCATTAATGTAGAAATCTGAAGCTGCTGTATGGTGCTGCATGGTTGGGACGTAGTAATGAATTGTGATTAGCAGCTGGTCAGATGTGTTCAGGTTTGTGTGTGAGCTGCTGTTTCTCATTAAGTCTATCAGAAGTGGAAAAGCGCTGCTCAGATCTCTCCTCTTTCTCCAGCTCTGATGGACTCTGATCTTTGCTGAAGTTTTGCTGTTTCACGGCAGCTTTCTGAAGGAGCTCTGGATTCCCATGATAATACCTGTTCATCCTCGAATGCAAAATTTCAGTTCATAATGCCATTAGTTGGATACAAACGCCATGTTTTGCATTTCATATTTTAGCACACCAAAAACGTTCGCAAAAAATATTGACACTTTGCATAAATAAAAATAAAACAGATTTTTGCATGTACACTGACATTTTTGTTTGCTGCAATTAGTTATAACAACCTAAAATTTGCTGAGATTACTTAAATATTCAACTTAACTAAACTTATAATTTTGAGTCAAGCACGACCAGTTGCTTGAAGTAACAACATATATTATTACTTATTCTATGTTGAATTTGAAGTACTTTTTTAGTGAATTTAGGCAATTTTTTTTATATCAATTTGTTACTATAAATTTTGCATAAATAAAAAACAATATATACAGTGGGGCAAAAAAGTATTTAGTCAGCCACCAATTGTGCAAGTTCTCCCACTTAAAAAGATGAGAGAGGCCTGTAATTTTCATCATAGGTATACCTCAACTATGAGAGACAAAATGAGGAAAAAAATCCAGAAAATCACATTGTAGGATTTTTAAAGAATTAATTGGTAAATTCCTCGGTAAAATAAGTATTTGGTCACCTACAAACAAGCAAGATTTCTGGCTCTCACAGACCTGTAACTTCTTCTTTAAGAGGCTCCTCTGTCCTCCACTCGTTACCTGTATTAATGGCATCTGTTTGAACTCATTATCAGTATAAAAGACACCTGTCCAAAACCTCAAACAGTCACACTCCAAACCCCACCATGGCCAAGACCAAAGAGCTGGCAAAGGACACCAGAAACAAAATTGTAGACCTGCACCAGGCTGGCAAGACTGAATCTGCAATAGGTAAGCACCTTGGTGTGAAGAAATCAACTGTGGGAGCAATTATTAGAAAATGGAAGACATACAAGACCACTGATAATCTCCCTCGATCTGGGGCTCCACGCAAGATCTCACCCCGTGGGGTCAAAATGATCACAAGAACTGTGAGCAAAAATCCCACAACCACACGGGGGGACCTAGTGAATGACCTGCAGAGAGCTGGGACCAAAGTAACAAAGGCTACCATCAGTAACACACTGCGCCGCCAGGGACTCAAATCCTGCAGTGCCAGACATGTCCCCCTGCTTAAGCCAGTACATGTCCAGGCCCGTCTGAAGTTTGCTAGAGAGCATTTGGATGATCCAGAAGAGGATTGGGAGAATGTCATATGGTCAGATGAAACCAAAATAGAACTTTTTGGTAAAAACTCAACTTGTCATGTTTGGAGGAGAAAGAATGCTGAGTTGCATCCAAAGAACACCATACCTACTGTGAAGCATGGGGGTGGAAACATCATGCTTTGGGGCTGTTTTTCTGCAAAGGGACCAGAACGACTGATCCGTGTAAACGAAAGAATGAATGGGGCCATGTATCATGAGATTTTGAGTGAAAACCTCCTTCCATCAGCAAGGGCATTGAAGATGAAACATGGCTGGGTCTTTCAGCATGACAATGATCCAAAACACACCGCCCGGGCAACGAAGGAGTGGCTTCGTAAGAAGCATTTCAAGGCCCTGGAGTGGCCTAGCCAGTCTCCAGATCTCAACCCTGATCCGTGCTGGTTGCTGAGGAAATACTTCAACTTCGCGCTGTCGATCACCGGATCGGCTTTCACCGTGGACAAAGCAGAGTCCAGCCCGGGGTCATCACATGTGGTTGCCGCAGGCATCACAATATGGTAAGGGACATAACATTTTCGTCACACGCTTGAGGAATTCGGGCCAATCACAACGCTTTGGATAGCTGGCCAATCAGAGCTCACCTCGCTTTTTCAGACCGATGAGCTTTGTAAAAATCGACGCATTTCAGAAAGGCGGGGCATAGAGGAGAAACAATGTACAGTATGTGAAAAATAATGTTTTTTGAACCTTAAACCGCATAAACACATTTCATTACACCAAACACACAAAATAATGTTCTTTTTAGCAACACCATATGACCCCTTTAAAATTATGAAAAAGTTGTTTGAATCAATGATTCAACGACTCACTCATAAACCTACTGGATGAATCAGCGTTTTAGAATGATTCTCTTGAATAAATGATTGATTCAATTATACATTTTTTAAGTCACTTTTGCAATCGACACAAACGTTATGTGACAGTTACTTTCATATGCGGATTTGCTCTATTTTTATGTTTATATCTGAATTATAAACTTTCATCCCAGTATTTCTGGGATAATATGAATGACTGTACAACAGAAATAATACTGTGTAGTTGAAAAGACTGTTTGTGAAGCCGTTTCTTAACCAAACATGGTAAACTGCTCTCTCCGTGTCAGCGGCAGTGCGAACGCAGATTTGAATGATCCGGTAATACTTTGTCAAAGGTTTAATAGACACGGGAGAATCGTTGTCATTTAGAAATGAGATCGTGTGGTTGTCTGAATCGAGATTGCGATCTTTTAATGATTAATCGTGCAGCTCTACACTGTGGATCTAATAACTGCAGTTTGACGGGGAAATACTCACGAGGGTAAAGATTTCAGTAGATTCTCCCTCAGCTCTAGAGTCACCAGGTTTGACAAGCTGAGAGAAGAAAAAAAAGAGAGAGTCGAGACTGAGCGTCAGATGGTGAGTGTGTCGCTCAGTTTGGAAGAGTAAGGGGCTCCTCCATCTGCACGACATCAACAGTAGCCAAAAACCATGTGTGTGTGTGTGTGAAATGGAGAGAGACAGTGTGTGTCTGTATGTGAATGGGATGCCTGCTTTGAATGATAATTACAAAAGGCAATAAAAACGATTAAAAAATGCATTTAAATATGAATATGCATAAATATTCCTCTGTGATGCACATTGCTTTTATACATAACTTTAGTTGCATAAAATTAAGGGTTGCATTGTGAGGCTGTACTACATGCATATAGTTTCATATGACTTAACAGATACATATGACACTTGCTTTTTAAATCTATCAGCATGAAATAAATGTTAATGCTATCTATTTTCTAAAAGCATGTTACAGATCTTATGTGAATAAGTGATCTATGAATAGATTCATCAAAAGTTTGACCTCGTAATGTTTAATCAAATGAAAATTATGGAATTCTCCTGGACAACAGATGATTAAAACAAATTCACCATCCTTCATTTTTTTCAATCATTTTTTACGTGTATACGTGCAAAAAATATTTAATTTTTACCCAATACATTTTCTTGAAGAAGGGATTTTTTTCAGATTAAAAAAAAAAAAAAAA